GACTCGCCTGGTTGTGGCGGTGGCTGCATCGATCCACCCCGTGTACCGTGGAACTTGTTACGATGTGGCCTAGAATTCTCCGAAAATGTGGAAAACCTCGTTCGATCGGACATCAGCGACCCTCCCCGTGAAGAAGCCTCTAAGGATCTCTTCCTATCGATCCCGACGATTTTTATCGACGCTTGGTTCTTGGGATTATATACACGGATAATGTCCAGTTCCTATCTTCAATTTTTTCATCCATTATTTAAGCAGTACATTTTTCTCCGTGTGAAATTTGTTAAGGACACGAGTTGTTAACGATGCTCCGAAAACTGTACGGACAAGAATGATCGTCAAGGATTCTTCATCCCGGGTAGGATTGCATCCTTTGGTGGAGCGTTTTGGAAAATATATGGCCGCCTAGATGGGAACGAGTCGCGATCGTAAAATTTGCGCTTCATATCCGTACACGACCCTCGGCCGTAATGAACCTCTCGTTAAGCTTCACTCGTCGACGTTAACTGCGCAAACTTGTTACACTGCGGTCCGGCCCCTTTCGATAATGGCACAAAGTACACCCTGAAAATGGCACCGAGCCATGGACAATCGTCGATACTTACCGAAACTTCCCCGCCACGATCGCTTTCGATCAAATATTATTCTACCCGGCTTATAGCCAGGATATTACTTGCTAAAAGTGCGCATATAATTTCCATACGATTAATGCACGACATTTCGCACTAATACCAGACGCGGATATAATTTCCGCGAAACGCCACGATTAAGCCATTTAATTTGTGTCAATAGAATGCAACGAGATTACGCCGTCGCTATTTATTTTCTGTTAAAAGCAATTTCATTTTATACGTGACCCATTATTTTACAATTATGATTTAATGGTCGCGAAATTTTTCAGCCGTATCCTTCCCACGCGATGAAGGTTTGACCGTTCGTTTTGCCGTTCAATCTATCTCCCATCTGCATAAGGAACGCAATCGGGAGGAATGATTACAGAAAATGGAAACGAATCGGCGAAATCAATGGTGTCCTTTCTATTTATCTTCTTTACTCGAGACGCCCGAACGAATTCGCGAAACGCAAATCGAGACTGGCGGATCGCTCTTCTCTCTCTCTTCTCCTTCGCTCAGATTCGCGATCACTTCCAGTCTCCGTAGAATTTTTTAAAGATTTTGTTTTAACCGCCTAAACATATTCTCTCGCTGTTTATTCACAAAGTCTTAACGATGCCGCCTTTTACGGGAAATATCCGCAGAATTCACAAATTGCCAGATTGCGCGAGTGAAATCCGCAATGTAGGTCCGCGCGCCTCGAGATGGCAATAAATATCGCGTTAAGTTTTATTTACCGACTGCTTGAATTGCAGAACTTCGGCAATTTTGCGAACATTACATTTTGGCCATGTACCCTCGTCGGGGGTTTTATTACTCGTTACGCAGCGTCTCAGGAAGCGAGATTTTCCGCGTATCGACAAGCCCGACAGAGCGAAAGAGCGGACGTATCGTAAAAGTAAAACTGTCCCATTTCGCAGGACGCGGTTCCGAAAATTCGTAAATCCTTCCGAAGTCACAGGACATGCCCCACTTTCGTAAGAATCAAATACTTTGCGAGGAAGGTCTAAGGAAAGGAGATCCTCCGAGAAGGAGTCGCACTTTTGTATCGGTCACGAATAAACCAAAGAATTATACTAAGTATAAGTTTTCCCCGTATCGCATGTTTTCATCATCAACACGAAGACAACGATCCTCTAGGTGGATCGGACAAATAAAGTTTAATGGCCTCGGGAAAGACCTTGTCGTCCATAAGGATAATTCTGGCACTTCCCTGGACTCGTAAATTATGCCAGGAAGCGACCATTATTACCCTCGCTGGACACTTTATGCCCATCTGAGTTTGGTTACCAAGAGAAAACGTCCTCGTGAAGGAAATTTCCCGAGGGACCAAATTCCTCTTCCCTTTCCGTCCACTCTTGATCCGCTTTTTTGTCGAGGAGGGTAAAAAGCAGTTCCAGCGTCGCGCAATATAAGATAACATTTTTTATAACAAAATTCCAGATTCTAATAAAAGCGAGGTCTATTATTAATTTCTCGTTACCGGCTCGCTTGTAGAAAAAAAGAAATAAGCAAAAAGGAGCACTTATAAATGGGATTCGAGCAATCAGCCAGGGAGGAGAGAAGTTTCGTTTCTTCCACGAGGATTCCTTTTGAGGGAATAATTACGACCGAAGATTCTGCGAGAAGTGTCCCGTGAAAAGCTTCCCTTCTCTTTCGCCGTTCAATCTTGGTCCCAGACGCAATGGCGAATTAAAGCGAATCGATTTGCAGAGGGAAATTCGAAGAGATAAAAAAACAACCGGATAGCTCATCGCGCGTTGCCGTGCAAATTGCACTTCCGAATTTTTCTCTCGTAGCGAGCGGATCAAACGAGCAAACAGAACATGGAAACGGGACAAAATTTCGTATCCTCGTAAAAGGACCCTCGACTTGGAAACAATTGCAAAAATCATTTCCCAACGAGCAACGAAAATAGACCTCAAAAAAGAATATTCAGCTTGTTACAATTTATCGAGAATCCAGAAGTCGATACGACGAAGCCTTTTTCCTTTTCAAGGGAAAAACGGTAATTCGGGGCACGAAGGAGGGAAGCTGCACGGGGATGAATTCAAATCGAATCGGAAAGAGAATTTCTCCAGGGAGGCTTCTCTTGTAGTAATTACTCCCAGTGGACGAACTTCCTCTCCAGGAAAGTAAACGTACCCTTGTTTGGCCCTTCGGGTTCCTCGAAGTCATCAGAATGCAATAGACAATTCGACGTTAAGGATGAGGCGATATCACCGAAAGCTCGGAAAAGAGGAATCGACAGGTGTCGGGAGTTTCGCGTTTCCTCGAACGTTTCTCCTTTTTTCCGACATCCCTTGAAAACCGGATTCACGGTATCCTGGGGGACAGGAAGCGCCGGGAGAGAAAACCCTCTTCCAGGACCTCGCCTGGCACCCTTTGGGGCGCATTCCTCTTCCCTTTAATTTCAAAGCTCACAAAGCTGGCTCAGCCTGCACAATAGTTCCCGAGTTTTCCTCGGCTAATTGGAACGAGTTTCAAGAAGGACGGAAAAGTTTAACGGGAACGAGAGATCATCGATGCAAAGCTCGGCCGAAGGTCCCTGCTCGCTCGAAAACGTTATTAGGAAATTCAGCGAAAGCTAACAATCTCCTCGAGCTTCCGTATCCTATACGGATGTCAACGGGATCGTCGAGTAAGCTCCACGGGCTATCAGATTTTTTTAAACGTCGGAAAACCAGCGATTTACCCTCCGCAAAAAATTCCAGAAATTCCTAAAGCATTTTAACTTTCCTCTCTATATTTTAATGACCGTCGTAAAAAAAATGCCTGGAAGCGATTTCATCCATTTTTTTTTGCCGCTTACTCCGCCTCGTATTTTTCAAACTTTCACCGAGCGAAAAAGTTGGAGGAAAAAATTGTGCGCGAAAATAGAAAAATCCGAAGTTGTCCATATCGTTCCGAGCTGCGTCTTTAACGTTTAACTCGGACATTTCGGGTTGGACCCTCGGCGCACTTTCGTCGATGGTCCCGTTGGGAAGGATCGAAAGCTCTCGCCGAGGAGAAGGCGATGAAATTGGGAAACCAAATGGAAGGCTCGGGGTTAAGGCGAAGACGCTCATTCGGACGCTTTCGTCTCCGTTCCGGGGGAAAGCCGTTTCCTCGGGAAGAAAGTTCCCGAGGTGAGGAGCGCCTATTTTCCGAGGCGAACGCTTTGACAAGCGACACGTGAGATGCAGCGAACCTTCGATAAGTTCTACAACCCCCGGGTGTACGTCGCGTGTCGCCGCGGATGGAAGGAGCTTATTTACCCCCGACATGTATCGATAATGTCACTTGATAGTGCCTACGAGAATTGCGCGGATATGCGCGACGTTAAACGAGCGCGCGTCGACGACGAGCTCTAAAGCTCGAAGCTTTCCCTTCGGAACTTTATTCGGCTCGTACGTATACCTATGCCAGGACTCATCGAGAAGCCAGCGATTGCCTTTCCGAAAAGTCCTACCATTTTTGGCCCGAAAGCTCCGCACTAACTAAGCTGCCGAATCGGGGCAAAGTTCCAAGATGCTCGCGAACGCGTACAATTTTTGGGTAATTTGCGAAGCACGCAAGATACGGCTTTGCGGGGTGGAATCGAGCTTCGCGGTGGCTTGCGACCAACGGAGCTTTTTGCGAGGTAATTTCGTTAGGCGCGTCCCGGCGAGAAGCCGGAACAGCAATCGCACTCGCTTCGTAAATCCCGACGGATTCGTTTGGAAAGCCGCGTAATTATTTTCGCGAGTGGTTAGCCCGAGCTTGCGGGGCCATCGTTAATTAGAAGCTAAAATTCCAGGAAGCGCCACTTCCGGACGACCTCCCCGCTTCGCGGATACTTTCGAGAATATTAAAGGACGGTGGTTACGCGGCGTGGTCGTTTTCTCTTTTCGGCCCCAGTTTTGCCAGGAAAGCTCCGCAAGTCTCGCGCGTGGCGCGCTCCGTTCGTCCCAAACGGAGTAATCAACGTCGCCGTCGTTTTCCCTGGCGCGAGCAACTCACCTCGGCGAGTTCGAAACACGGCCCACAATTAAGCGCGAGCTTTTCCGAGAAAAGACTCGCGAGTTCGGCGAAACAATCGGCGCGCTCGTTGGAGCTTATTTCCGCGCGCGAACCGCGAAAAGTGGTCCTCGCGAAAGCGTCGCCGCAACTTCCACCGGGGTAAACTCCGGGAATTTCGAATTTTTTCCTCTTTTAGCGTCGAGACGGCCGCAGCTTTTGAAACGGTCCGAGGGTAAGTCGTCCTTTCCTTGTCCAGGGACGCCGCTTGAAGGCACGACGGGCGAGAGGAGGAGACGAGCTTAGCCGCCCCGCGGAAGCGGGAGAAGGATGCGGCGAGCGGTCGCGGGGCCCTCGGCGCGACCCGAGCGGGCCCGGAGGCCCTCAAGAGTCCACGCGACCTCTCCATCGGCCGCCAGGAAGTATCCCTCCATCGGCCACCATGAAGTATCCCCGAAGGACGAATGAGTAGGGCGCGGGATGGGCAAGTCCTGGCTCGCCGCCCTACTTTCCGCGATGATTACGGCCTCGACGATCTCCTCCGAGGTCCGCGACGCCAAAAGGGTAAGCGGGGACTCGCGGAAATTCCGACGGGAAAAGGCGCGGAATTCCAGTCCTCGAGGTCTCCTTCCTCGACGGTTTCGAGAGGAAGGAAGCTTCCTTCGTCGACTCTCCTCCGACGCGACGCCGTCGTACTTTCCCGATTTATTTTTAAAATGGAGCTAAATCGGTGCACGAAAATCTTGAGATTCTTTCCCGAGGGACTCGGGGAAGAGGGAAACGCGTTCTCCTCGAATCGGAGGATCGTTCTCCGGCGATCCGAAGAAGAGATGAAATTTCCCTCGCGACCCGTTTGCTTCTCTTTGAAACTAGATCGACGCGGAGGAGGCTCTGGACGTCATCGAGGCGGCATCGGCCGGTACTCTAGGAGATGAGTGCGCGGCGTCGGCGGGGTACAAATCCTTGCCTCCTGGGGCGCCTCTCGATCCGCGGCGCTACGACACGGCTCGTCAAAAAGCCGACTTGGCCGCCATGATGCTACAGAACCTCGGCCCGACGAGACACGCCGGTAAGCAATTTCGCGAATCCACGTTCCATCGATCCCAGCCTCCGGAGAGCGCCCTTGCTGAAAACCTCCTCGGCGGTGCAGCAGCGCGCGGGGAAAGAAGACTAATCCCTGCATCTCCGCGTCCTATCGACTGGCAGATAAAATCATGGAAAAAAAAAAGAAACGTCCAAAGACTCGAGGGGGTATCCTCGACTTTGGTCCTCGAGAAGGGAGTCGGAATAGCGGGCTCATTATTTCCCCGGAGCGGCAATTTGCCTCGACGTTGCGGGCAAATCGGCGATATCGGAAACCGCGGGCGGAGCAAATATCTGCACGGGTTGCCGAGTAACGTTGCACGACTCGTGCGCCGGTTGATTTCATTTGCACTGTACGCGACGAGAATCCGGAGAGAGTGACAGGAGCTTCGGCATGCCCGCGGAGAAATTAACGATCGATCCCGCGAAGGTAGCCGTGGTCATGGACGCGGGTGGAATGTATCTCAAAAGTCCATCTACGAGGTCCGCGCGTCGAGGGAAAAAATTTCGACGGATTTTCCCCGCTCCACTTCTCCGACACGAGGAGTCGATCGATTCCGCACTTAGGCATGCGTGCTCGCATAATTTCCCCGCGGGCATCTGCACGCGAATGGGCACCGTAAGCGCTGCAATTTTTAATGCGCTTCGGGAAACTCGCCCTTCCCTTAAAACGCTTTCCATTGCGGCAGACGTTATCTCCATTTCGTTATTTACTCTTCCCCTCGCCGTTCCGAGGCGATTTACGTTCCGCGATCGAGCAATGTTTCCCGATTAATACGAAGTTGCGATTAACGTTCACGAAAATTGGGGCAGCGGCTTCGCGTCGAATTGATCTAAGGGACATCGATCGGCCGGGGCCGTTCGCGTTTGCACTTCTTCCGCTCTATTTTGGAGTGGATTCAAAGAGAGTTACAAAGGACCAGGGACGGCCATGCGGAAGAGATCGGATCGATGCCTCCGCGGACGCGTTTTCGTAAAAGCGTCGCCTGCACCTGATTCTTACGCCATTCCCAAAGAGGAGGAAGCAAACGAAATTTCTTTCCTCGTTGTTGCGCTTCGCCGTTTAGTATTGCATATAATTCGCATGATTTTAATTAAAGAAGATCGTACCATTTTGATCGATTCTAGCGACGTTACGGCGTTTTTCAGCTCTCCTGGAGGCCGTCGCGAGATCTCTCCTGTCTTCGGTCGACGACGCGGTGGAAACCAGAGTGATATCACTGAACGCGTCTACCGGGACTGTTATCAGTGCAACGTGGTTGAAGCGCAGTCCCGGCAGCGTCGGGGAACCGTCCAAAGTCGAAAGCCATGATCTGGAATATGGTTCCAGACCCGACCCGAGACTTCCCTGGTTCGAAAACGCCGGTTCCAGTACAGGTTTAAGGTTCGAAAGGGCGGAGTAAGAAAAATTGATAAAGATAAAAAAGACCTGGCCTCCGTGGCACTCGAAATCTGCCGCTCGTCCGAAACCCAAGAGCGGAATTTCTGTTCCATGCTCGAGACGTCTTTTATTTTTTAAGGTCAACGGAGACCCAGGTCAGGTTCTCATCGAGTCGTCGGGATGCTCAGGTTCCACCGGAGGAACGTAAACGTGGACGTGCTCGGAGCCCGAGATTCGAAACTTGTTGCAAAGCATCGACGGAAAACGTGTTTTACGTTTCGAAAAAATCTGCTCCAGAAGCGACTCGTCCGGAAAGTACGCACGAATGCTTCGAGTACCCTCGGCGTTTTTCCTCGCAATTTTTTTTTTTTTTTACCAAGACCGGAATTAATAGAGCGGGGTAACTCGTTAAGAAAAGTTTCCTCTATTCTAGCTGAGCTACGTTCTCGAAATCGTAGTTTTATCCCACTTTTGGAGGCGAGGAAACTTCGCAGAGGAACGGCGCGATGGTTTCTCGATGGGGTTAAAGCGCGGGAATTTTGCGAAGCAAATGTAATTTATTTTACCCTCTTTTAGGGTCGGTTTTTTAACGTCTCAACATGGCCGCGCTCTCTTGCGAAAAGTCGAGGGAAGACTCGGAGGATCTCCGGTAATCCCGTGTCTCCAAGATATTACTAGATGGCGGTACTCGATTTTTTACTCGGCGTATTTTTTACGAGCCAATTACGCCTTCTCGGAAGAAAAATATTAAAGGAATATTCACGTCGAAGGACCGTCATTTTTATGTCCCCCGTGAAATTTTCCCCCGGAACAAGAGCGTCCCGACACCGGAGGGCGCGAAGGAATTTCCCGAGAATTCCTTCGAAAGCCGTCCGGGAATTTCACCGAGCACGCATTGCAGCCTGAAAAATCACGCAAGCACGCACCCGCACTGCCTTTTCCACCAGCACTCGCATTTCGCACTCTGTCGCCTCTCGTCTTGATTTCGAGTGATTTGTTTCGGGATTTCAACGCGAATGGAGTCAATAGTGTCTCTACGAATTTAGGCGGATCTTAACGAATTAATGTCACCAAACCAATAAGGAAATCGGTTCGATGGGACGCTTCTTTCCTCCCAATATACTTTTTTTTAAGGTATCTTTAATATCCAAGGTCCGTCAACTGGTCCTTATTGGTATTCCGCGGATCGACCAGTCGTGATCATTGGCCATTCATCATCGCTTCATCTCTCGTACGAACGTCAAAAGTCATAGAAACTTGAGAAATTTCCTATTGTCTTTATTCGGCAGTTTCTTCGCCTGTCCTTCTCTTTATGTACCTGCACCGGAGAATACGGAGCCCGGTAATTCTCTGAAAAGCGAGCTGGCATATGATGCGAAAAGTCATGTAAATCCCGAAGTTTCTATGGCGGTCGTGGCGTTTGCGTGTGATCCCAGGTCGCCGAAGTTCATGCAGTCACCGCCGATTGAATCCTACAGGGGATGGTGGACCCTCCCGTACTTCTCCTGCAAGACTCGCAGATGGCTCATCTCGTATAGCGTCAACGTGAGGCCTCCGGATGCACATCACGGGTCAGTAGCGGAGCAGAAATACATCTTTTGTTAGGGACTCGGGGAAAAAGTCGAATCTCTCGAGGTGTCACCGTTGCTCTTCCCGATGAGACGTTCGAGTGCGCGAATTAAACGCGGCTGGGATTTTGCGAGCGCCCTACTTTTCGCACGGTTTCTACCCTCGGGAGGACTGGAACTCGTCTCGGTTCACGGGATGTTACGTCCGCCGTTGCAGCAGTCTCGAGTTTTGAAACGCTTCATCGGCAAACTCTCTTTATCCGGTGGCCGGGCAAAAGTTCCTCTCGGTGGAAATAGAGAAACTTGGTATTCGCAACCAGTTTCGTGGGAGTCCCCTTGAGGCGAAGTCTACCCGGTTGGCCGAATTATTCCTCGGCACGTCCACTTTGTTCGAGTTAGCGCAAGTGCTCTCGATGCGCAATGTACTGTTCCAGGATCCGGGAATTCCTGAGCATGGACGTCGACATCAGCGGCCTGGAAGTCAATCAATGCGACGCCGCCTCCACCGTAGACGGAGAATATTCCGACAACCAAATCGCCTCCCTCCGAGGGACGCACAAGTGTCCCAACGACACCACGCAAGTAATGCCAAAGAAATGTTAAAACCATCCCATAAAATTCATAAATACTCCTAGGAGGAGTGATTTCCAAAATTTAACCCCGGCCACCCCGCCGATAATTATTGACTAGGTGTTCGTACTTTCAGTGCGAGTATCAAGGCCCGAGCAGCAGAATTAATGAGAACGGAGTAGGAGCCGGTTGGGCCAAGGGTGCGTACGTGTGCAAATGCAGGCAGGGTTTTTATAGCATGAACCACCATCGATCCGGCTTCGCGGGAGAGCTCGTCGAAGGTTATGGAAAACCATTGGGACCACCGTTATTACCATTTCTATGATAGACGTCTATGTAACCTATCTAATTAATTTACAGTCGCTTGGAAGGAACTGCGGTCAAACAGGAGCGATCTGTACGAACGAGTTTTTCGATGCATTCGATGTGCTCCGGGATGCGTTCGATGCAAAGGACCGGAACCTTGCCTAGCCGCGTATAATTGGCCTTTTAGGTACGCCTCCCTTTAATTAAACCTACTTTGACTTTGTACCGATCAAACGTCCGACTAAAAGAAACGACTTAACCTTTCAGAATCACCCTGCTCGCATTTTCCGTCTTCTGCGCCGTCGGCACCGTTGTCTTGGTGGCGTACATGTACCAACACCGTAAACTGAAGGTCTTCAAAGTGGCCTCGCCGATTTTCTTGTCCATCACTCTCCTGGGATGTGCTATAATGTACCTCGAGGTGAACGAACCGATCAATTTCTCCGCGTTTCTCGTACGATTTCGTTATTCTCAACCCGGAATGGGAACGTTGTCGCAGATGGCAGCTATCTTCCCGGTGCTGGACATGTACTCTTGCATCGCCACCAAGTGGACGAGACACCTGGGTTTCTGTATCTCGTACACCGCCCTCCTCATGAAGACCTGGAGGTATGCGGAGTGATCCGAATTACCGCAACCCTCGGTACAACTCGATTATCCGTGTTAATTGATCGACAAACGAACCCTGCCAATTATTCCTCGTAATGCGATTTCCACCGGGTTGCTCAAGCGTACCCCTGGCTCTTCGTCTGTTTCCTCGGTTGCACAACGCGTCTTTGAAACGTTCGCAAATTAATTGTTACCCAGGTCATGCAATGCCAATTGTTCGATCGAACCTCCGCTCTCTCCTGCGGACGGATTTCTCGCGTTGATCACTGATTACCCCGTATTGCCTGTACCTTGTACAGCTATGCGTTACGATCTGCATAAGTCATCGGTAACGCATTCGGTGCAGAAAAAAAAATTATGAGACTAACCAGATTTATAAAAAAAAAAAATGTATTAAACATCCTGAGTTATTTAGTAAAATTTGTACGATTTACCGTTTCTCTTAACGCGAAAATAACCCGTTGGAATAATTGGCTTCTTAATACCGATTGTTCGGAATGGCCGGTCGAGTGCTAATGTCTTCGCAACCAATGAGCTTTTCGTATCGGTTTTCGATTACGAGAGCAGTATAAAGCGGTGCTTACGATCGCCCAGATATAATATGCCCGTGATATCGAAGGAAATGGCGACTTATTGCGGCACTTGGGAATGACTGGAAGATAATGTACTTTCAGGGTGTCACTGACTTATCGAGTAAAAAGCGCTCACAAGGTTAAGCTCACCGACAAGCAGCTGCTGCAGTGGATGGTCCCCATTCTGCTGGTCATGCTGATCTACCTTGGGACTTGGACCTTAAGTGCACCTCCATACGCCGAAGTAATTGCTGACAGCCATGGCTTGAAGTTCTACCAGTGCTCTTACAACTGGTGGGACCACAGTCTCGCCATTGGTAACGGTTCCGCCGTTTCTGCATCCTTCCTCGTCTAAATTAATTTATTCTGATCGATGTACAGCAGTTATAAATTGTGGGCAATTTTTTTCAGGGGAAATCATGTTCTTGGCATGGGGAATAAAGGTGTGCTACAACGTGAGAAACGCGGAAAGCCTCTTTAACGAGGCTCGTCTCATCAGCTATGCGATCTACAACATCGCCGTAGTCAATACGACGATGATCGCCATTCAGTGGGTATCCTAGAAATAACATATATTTTTTTTAATATGTTTATGCAAATCGATTAATATTTAAAGTCGTCACGTTTATCGTCGACAGCCTCTTCATCTTTCCTCACGCTGGACCGGACATCAAGTACCTCCTCGGCTTCCTCAGAACTCAACTTTCCACTTCCGTAACCGTGTTTCTCGTTTTTGGTCCCAAGGTGATTTCTCCTCGCCATTTCAGATACTAGCGATTCCTATAAGGATTACTGCTTACTTTTCTCTTCGGGCATGCAGGTTCTACGCGTTTTGCGGGGTCATGGAGACCAATGGGACAGTCGAGCAAGAGCACGCGGGGTTACGGCGAGTTTCTCGCTTAATGGGATCGGCTTGGTGCCCGAAGAAACCACCGACCTCTATCAAGAGAACGAAGAATTAAAGGTAATTTGTCCTTCCCGATGGCCAACGCTTAATGAAATACTCGATATTATGAATATTTCAGGAGGAGATACAGAAGCTGGCCGCTCAGATCGAGTTCATGAAAATCGTGCATATGGAAATGCACAACAGACACATCAAGCCGAAGGCTGGTGGATACTTCAGTACCCATGGCCATGGTCATGGACATGGGTCCTCGGCTCAGAGCCCCATCGCGAAAAATTCCACTGCCAGTTTCATCCTGAAGGTATTTAAGTACCTTTTAATCGACGAATCCTCCCACATAAACGTTGACTTTTGATTTTTTTTTCATAATATCCTTTCTTTCGTTACATTTTTTCCAGATATTTTTCTCGCGTAAGATATTTCCTACAAATCGTAGAAAATTGTATACGGTCCAATTTCAGCAGTTTCCTGAACATCTCCGCTACTTTTCGCAGAGTGCAGTGGAACGCGGTGCATCCGCTGCTGCAGCTGCAGCTGTGGAGGACTCGACGTTCCCTTCGGGAAGTTTACACCGCGCTCGCCGTATGGAACTACTTCGGGAGCGAAAGGCTGAAAGGGAAAAAGAACGAAACAAGCAGGAAAGAGAGAAGGAGAAAGAGAGCCAGGAGCAACAGAGCCAAAGCGAGGGCGAAAAAGTTTGACTAGTAGTCAATAGCGAGGAGGTAACTGAATTTACATTTAGACTCCGAGTCGGGTAATGCGTTCCAAATTTCTCCACAGTGTCGGGCGATACACCGATACCATTAGCATAGCATTCCAGGAGTTGCATTAATTTCCAGGTATGGTTGTGACGAAAACGCAGTCCTGGGGAACGCGGAAACCCCGTGAAGTTTCGTTAATGGTCGTCCGAAAAGAACTCGAAGAAAGGGGAAAAATTCCGACGCATTCCGCCGATGGACTCGCGAAAAGCTGTTTACGTGTGAGGTTTCTTCCTTCCGTTTAAAAGTCAAATTAAAAATTGGGAATACTCGGGAACCTACATTTTCGACTTGCCTATGCACGTGGTTGGAGAAGAGAGCAAAGGAGGGGAGAAAATTTAAAAAAAATTCACAAAAAGAGAGGAAGACCACGAAGTCACGTAATAGGCATTTGGTAGTTGCAAATGTTTGTCGCGTACACCTAAATTTCATTCAGTTGTAATTTCGATACGGACGTGTTACCATTTATGTATATCGGAAGAAACTCTTGCGTGAAAAGCCAATACATGTTCAAAATATTAATGAAATGGGCAAGGCGAGTCAATTTTACAACCACTGAGAATAAATCTATCCGATGAGGAACTGCGTTTATCGAGTTCGCGATTTTCGATAATGCGATTTGTCGCGTTGCGAGAAAACCGTTCTCGCGGGGACTATGCGTGTGTTATTACGGTGTTATCGGATCTGTCCGTCGATGTTGACAATATGATTAATTGCTAGTCATAATTACTATAAATCGTCGAATTTTATATATTGGAATGCTCAAGATTTAGGCGCATTTCGAAGATCAGGAGAGGGATGGTCTCCAAAAATTATACGGGATTTTCGGAACGAATGTAACACTTTTGCCAAATTTGCCGCACTACATTTTGCGGAATAGTTGAAATCGTTTCGAAGCACCCGAGGTGCCATAGCTAGTAAGAATCGACATCTCGATAACTACAAACTGAAATTCGTGTTTATATTTTTTATCAGTGTGGCAAATTTGGTACATCTAAGACTAGCCCGAATTTTCAAAAGTTGGAAAAGGAATTCCCTGACATGCCGGATACGAGATGAACGATTAGAACTAGATTCATTTCTTTTTTTTAATTTTCGGCGTGGCCCAGCGATATCGGAGAAGCAACTAGTCCTCGAAAATTAATTAAGTTACGATTAGTGTTGCTGTACGTGTCTAAGATAATTAATGTAAGGTCGTTGTTGGATCTGTGGCTTAATTGGTAAGCACGCAAACCCTTAAGCTAGATAGTCAATCCCTTGTCGCCATATATTTTAGCATTCTCTAGAGAGGTGTCCTCGAATTCTTCCTTAACTCTCTTACCGAATCTTTCCACGGTGTTAATTATTTATTAAACTTGGTCCGGTAGTTTGATTTATCCAACGCGAACAATGGCAAACCTTGAAGTTCAGATAGCAGTAAGCGATGTCGACGGTAGACGCATTCTTTCCGAGTAATCGACAAAGATGTGTAAGACACTATAGAACTAATTCACTCGTTAATTAATTAATTTATTTATTTTATCTCGAGGAGGCGAAACGACGCGGAGGAATTGAACTTTTCCACTTCGAGATTAAAATTGCGAGGCGGGCAGACATTCCGGCGTAGAGGCGCGGCTTTTGATAAAATCTTTTATAAATTTTTTATTTCGTTTAGGCAGATACTCTATCTCTCTGGAACTCCTCGGTACTGAACTGTCATGGCGGCTAGGAGGAGATCCAAACGTACTCGACGTCCCTCGGTCGACGAAACATACAATGTAACAAGTTGTTCGGTGTTCTAGGAAAGGAAATTGCTCGTCCTGCTTTCGATGTTAATTCCGACATAAGTGGACGTATGTATGACACATGTAAGCGATTGTAATACAATAAAAGAGTACCGGCCGCCTCGTGAAAATTCTCGCTTTATTTTTGGGGTACGAGCTCACTTTTCATTTTTTTTCCTCTCCCTTGTAGAAAAATAAGGGAAAATATACTGGGCCTCAATTTTGATCTCGAGGTATCCCTCTTTATTATCAATAATTTCGTCTTGCCTTTCCAATGTACCCTGAAATTACAAGGAATTTCCTTTCGGACGGATGTAAAGGGATCCGGCGACTAGTTCTCACGACAATAAAGAGGAAAAGCGATGCACGAGAAATCATCTTTAATTACCTTATAATTCGAGGTATATGTATAGGTACGATAAATATCGTAGCCGATAAAGTCATTAGTTTATCACTAAAGGATTGCACATTACGTTCGGTATTAATGATCACGGCGGTTAATCTTACGAAATAACAAAAATCAACAAACATAATGGACTTACAACAAACAACGAGGGTCTGCGACAGTAAGGACTCGATGAACAAACGACAAAACGATACGAGAGTTCGTGCGAGGAACTTTCGGGGAATAATTATCTCGCCCTGATGAGCACTGGTGAGCGAAAGGAATTTCGTCGAGACCGCGATTAAGTGATTAAACCGTAATTTCGTTGCAACTTTTCCGTCATTCTCCCATCGCGGTCGGCCGTCAAAGAATAACTTACTGTCTAAACGTAAGGACGATTACTTACGAAGAATACACATTAAGTACCATGCAGCGCGATATGAGATGTTGCATGTCGAAAGTCTCGAGATTCTTTAAATTACCTGTACTATTAGCATATCCAACATTCATAAAGGACGCGAAATTACGGTCTAACGACTCAATGGCAGAGCTCCAGTTAATCGGTGAGACTCAGAAGTCCGTTCACTCGGAAAGTATTTAGGTAGGACGAATTTGCGAATAACGAATACTTGTATAAAAACTTGTTCCAACTGACTGATTCGTAGGTGGTCAATTAATTTACAAGGTTTATGACGATTGCAAGGCAAACTTTTTTCGTAAACGACTAAAAAGGATGCCCAAAGTTCGGACGAATTTCCAAGTCTCTCCAGAACCAAAAAAAAAAAAGAAAACAGAAGACTCCCTGCACAAATTTCTGTCGCCGTAGCATCACGGATGCGCTTTGCTGGAACTCCACGATATATATTTTTGGTCTTCATTTACGAGCACTATTTAAGTAGGATATACCAAGTAGTACCTCTTATCACGTTTTCGAAAATTGTAAGAAATTCTTGAAAAATAAAACCTAAATCTCTAAGAAGAGTGAATCCCAAAAGCGCTTCGGTGACGCGACGACGGAGCAATTTGCGCAACGCGCACGTCTCTTTCCCCTTATTCGCGATATAAATTACAATCTGCCCATAACTGGCCGCTATAAGACGCTAAAATTTACACGTATATTTTCTCTCCTCTCTCTCATCGCTCAGGCACCCTCATTCAGGCTCGCACAATCATTCTTCGCGTACTTGGAGTACGTCGCATCCGCTCCATATCTCGTTTCCTCTTTCTCTCCCTCTCTTTCTCCCTTATCCACAACCCTCGCTCACTGTCTCTCTTTCTCTCTCTAATATTTGGACATTTGTACTTGACGCTTTACAATCGAGTATTACAAAATATCCGAAACTAGTATATCTCTCTCTAGCGCGCCCCCGAATTCGGAGACGAGCGCAGGCTTGGCTAATCGATGACGCCGGTCACGCGGTTCGCGATCGTCCGGAGACTCTTCTCTAGAGGTCCCTAGGAACCCCGGGAAAATCGCGGAAACGCCAGAGATCTCGGCCAGGGTCCGACGAGTCCCTGGACTCACCGGCGAGGAGTCTACCCTAGGCGGACAGGACTCTCCGCTCCGTCCTTGGCTTCGTGGGAGAAAACGGCCCGACTGGTTCCAGGGTTGACCGGGAGTTTTGGCGATCTCGTATCAAACGACAGCGAGCCGGTCCCTTGCCCCGAATTAACGTTTCAGGGAACATCGGTGACCAGGAACGAAGGGTCTCCAAAGAGGCCAATTTGTCGATGTATAGGGCGGGTGGGTAATTTTCGGCCATCTTCGAGGGTTCGACAATTTCCTCCAGTCTTCATCGCTTCGTCCACTCGGCTCCGTCTCCTCCTAGTTAGGACCACCGCTTGCCCCAACTCTTCTGGTCCCTGGGGTCTCCTCGGCCGAGGCTAACGTCTCCGCCGTTACTCCCGTATCGGTCGGAAAATAGGCTGACGTCGTTTCCTGGCGCACTTTACTCGAGGTGCCGATAACTCGACGAACCGGCGACTTCTGGTGCAGGCAAATCCGTCATCGGCCGACCGAACGGGGTCGACCGAGTTTCCGTAGCTACTCGAGGATCGCGCGATACTCCATCCGCCCGACGGCGCCGTCCGAGTGGCGGCAAGACGTCCTCGGTTAACCCGTTCTCACCTGGGGGGTGGCCGATCTTTCCCTGGGAAGACCCAACCGAATCTCCCCAGGCCCCGGATTCTCTCGCTTGGACTTAGACGATATCCCGACCGTTCTCTACCTGGCAGCCACAACTGTCCTGGTCCTTGTCCCCGGTGTCCTCCTCCTCGGGCTCCGCCTCGGTCTCCGCGGGACTGGTCTTCTCCTCCTTGCTCGCCGACTGGGACTTGTCGAGCAGCGAGCTGAACTCCCCGAACTTCAGGATCTCCTCCATCGCCGATGGCTCCAGGGGCACCTGGTGGTCAGGGATCGCGATCAACGTCTCGCTCGGTCGACAAGATCTCGAGGAATGGAATACCTTCCGCGGTCGGCCTCGTTTCCCCTTGCCGGACAAGGTCGCCACCGAGTGCCCGATGCTCAAACTGTCGAGGGTCTTCCGCTTGGGCCACTGGAGGTGGGAGTCCAGATGCTGCTTCAGCTTGTCTTGCCTGGCGAACATGCGGGGGCAGAGACTGCAGGCGAACGGCCTCTCCCCCGTGTGGACGCGCCTGTGTCTCGCCAGGTGAGACGCCCTGGTGAACGCCAGGGTGCAGAGGTCGCAGGAGAACGGCTTGTACTGGGCCTTTTCGCTCTTGGAGAACTGCCTGGCCTCCTTCGCGTCGCCGCCGTTGCCGCTCCCGTTCTTTTTCCCGCCGTCCAGCTTCCTCTTGGACGCGGGGGACTTGGAGGACTCGTCCGGTGACCCGCAGCTCGGGGAATCCTGGAACGCGGAGAAGTTACCATCTCGTCCCTGTCGGAGAAACGTCCTACCCGAAGAGGCGACGGGCCCGTACCACGTGCTCCCTGTCCTGGTCGTAGAGGTCCTCGTTGAGGTGCACGCTAGGCACCGTGGGGTCCGAGCACCCGTTGCCGAACATGGACTCCGACTTGGCGTGGCCCAGGGAGTTCTCCTCGAAGCAGTCCTCCTCCCGGAGCGAGTCCTCCCTCGGCGACAAGGGGTCCTTCGAGTTCGCCTCCAGGCTGCCGCTCTTCCCCCGGCCCACGCAGACTCGCTTCTGCCCTCGGAATCTCGTCTCCCGTTTGAACATCGGCGGCGGGATGCGTCTCTACAAAAGATCCAAGGATTAGCGCGCTCGGGACGAGCGAGGACAGCCCACCGTCGGGGTTTTAGGCCTCGTCTATCCTTACTATCTGCTCGTTACTGGTCGACAAGTTCGGCGGTGGCTCGAAACTGTCGTCGTGATCCTCGATCACCATCGGGTCGTCCTCGACTTCGATCTCCTCTACCTTGATCCGATCGAGGGCCGACTCCGCGCAGGCCTGCTTCGCCAGGAAGCCCGCCTCGGCCGAGTCCTTCCTGCCGAACTCGGTGGTGTGCACTCTGGTCTCGATCAGGCACCTCTGCATCCTGGACTCCACCCTGGAGTGCAGGTGGTTCGCCTCGTTCCTGTGCTCCCCGGAGAGCCCCCTGATCTCCAGGTCGGTCGCGGTCTTGATCAGGGACGGAAGGTGCTCCTCCGCGACGTCTATCGAGCCCCGGTACATGAAGTCCAGGAGGCACTCCATCTCCTCCACGGCGACCCCTGCGGGATCGCGGATCGCATCAGATTTAAAGCCTCTCGGTGAAGCGCGCTCTCGAGGTACTTCGGCGCTTACCGGAAGGCCTCGCGGTCTTATCTTATCACGCGGCAAGCAAAACGTAACACCTGACGGGCGAAAAGGTCCCACCGAATCGATCTTCCCTCCTTCGGGGGTCCCGACTCGGTCGCCGGGCCGATCGCGTTTCTTACGAGTTCCTTGCCGGAGTATACGCGTTAATTCTACTTTGAAGGGACAACGGCCCACCCTTAAGTATGAGGATGGGCTGCTCGCCGTAATGTTCCTTGAAGACCCTCTCGAAGTAAGGGCTGCAAGCCGCGAGCACCAGCCTGTGCGCCCTGAGCATGCCGCCCTGACATGCCAGGGTGGTGTCCGTCAAGGAGCCGCTCTTGTAGAGGCCCTCGAAGAGGCCCGAGAGGTTCGCCAGGTGGTTGTTCCAGGTCAGGTTGAACGTTTTCTCGGTCATCCTTGCCCCTCGTCTTCCTCGGTTCCTGCGACACGAATCGAGTCTTAGCGCCGCCATCCTCATCGAGAGTTTCTCCGGCCACCCCGAGCCCTCGTTCCCGCGTCGTCGCGATCCCCGACGCCCCCGTGGCCATCGTTGCTTCTCGAAACGAGTCCCTCGTTACGGTGGACGAGCTCCGCGCCGAGATTTCGATCGTTATCCAGGGGGATCCCGATCCCCCGGGTAACGCGAGCGCAAGTGTCCGTTTGTAAACTCACGCGGGGGTGGAAGCGCAGCGCGAGCTTGCGAGGGCCCCGGGGGGCCGGGGGGCCGGGGGCAAGGAGTCATGCGCAGAGGGTAGCTTTCGCGTTGGCGATCCATAATTTTGTTGGTGGACCCCATGCTAGGGCTCGAGCTTTTTCCGAGGGCTTTCCGAGCGCACCCCTCGGTTCTTTTCAAGCTTTCCGTGTTCGCGACCGCCCCTTGTCCTCTGGCGTTCCTGCTTTGTCGGGCATGCCGATGTCCGCGAAGCGGCGTCCTCCCCCGAAAACTATCCCGCGCGATTCGACCGGACGGATTCCCGCGCTCGGATTTTCACTTTTTTTTTTTCCTCAAAACGCGTCCCGACGATCGATTCCTCCCATTTATCCCCGTTGTGTGCCGATCGGCGTTCAATTTCGTAATACTTCTAAGGGGTGGAGTGACCCTAAACGCACCGTTCCGCTCGGCGTTTAATTTCGTAATACTTCTAAGGGGTGGAGTAACCTAAACGCACCTACCCTTCTCCTTTCGGTAGGTTTCGATAACGATGGCGAGAATCCAATGTCCTACGTGGATTGATCGGTCCACGGTGACCCCGATGCTACATGGACCGATCATCCGCGGAAGACCCGGGACGGTTTTAATTGAATTACGTTTAAGTTTGATCGATATAAATAATCGTCCGTGGGGCGTCGGGGCCGAAATCTCGTACGAGGCGATAGGCGACGCGCGAATCCGAAAAAACCGAGCTCGTGATATTTCCTTATCGCTTCCGAATGCGCGCATCCGCAAATAATCTCGGAGTATTCCGTGAATAGTTCCGGCGGTCTCGGAGCTTAGGCGGAATATTTACGAAGCGCTCGTAGTAACGGAGGCCTCGTACGAGGGAACGGGTCCCCGTGACGCGTGCGTGTACGACAACGCGTACCGGTACGGCAATATGGCGGGACGATTGATTATAGCAGCCCCACGTTATATGCACCGTATGTAACGTATGTACCGTATGTACCAATAAGTCCGCGGAAGACCCTGAACCCACGTAATCGCATTAATCTCCCATTATTTGGAACCGATACGAATCCACTCGAGACCCTTGAATTCGTTTAACTCGAGCCGAGCCGAAAATCACCGAGTACTCGACGTCGTCGCTGCAGTTAATAAACCCCTCTCGATAACGCAAACCGTAAATACCCTCCAGAAGTTGAAGATGTGAAAGAAAAGGAAAAAATGATCCGAAACTCCCCGATGGTCCGGGCGGGATTCAAAAGTTCCTTTTATAAATTTCATTCCATCGACGCAAGGCTCACGGGAACTCCGAGATATCCAACATGGCGGGAGAAATTAAACGATCCGCCCTGACCCCGGCTCCATGTACTCATCGGTCCGCTGGACTCCCTGAACGGTTTTAATTACGTCCATTTAACGTCATTTGGTGTCATCGCGTTAATTCCCGGCGTCGTACTTTCCGCCATCGCGTCTTAGATTTCGGCAGTCATCGAATCCCCGATCCATTTCCACCGGGCGATAACGAACGCTAATCTTTTCCCGCAGCGGCTCGGAGACCTTCCGGGAGTGTTTGCGTATCTTTCCAGTGCTCCACAAAGAACGAGAATTCGTGAGACGTTTCTGGCAAGGGGGACTCGATGCGAGGCCCGTTCCCGACAATAACGCCATGCGGGCGACACCGACGACCTCGACGACCAGCTCGGAAAAGATCCGCCTTAAACTTTCCCCCGCGTCCGGTCGAAACTCCCGGGCGCGCCGCTCGTGACCTCGAGCCTCCTCGTCGAATATCTCGATCGTCCAGTTCCTCGTGAAACGGAAGAAACATCGAGTGGCTTCGAAATCACGTGCACGCTGGACACGGAAACGGATATTCAATATGGCGGAAGGGATCGATCGGTCCGAGCCGACCCCGGCACGATTCCTCCTAATCCGTCGACGAGACGGCCAGAAGCGACTCGATCGCCCCCATTTACCATAACTCCGTCTCCATCCGCGTCCACGTAAGCTCCGCACCAACGGCTGAGGATACCCAAAACCGTTGATGCTACCGAAGACCTAAATGCGGTGGCTAACGCAACGGCTTACGTAACCTCGACCACGGCGGGCTATTTTCGACACCCGCCCCCGAAGCCGCCGCGAATCGACGCCGCAGGAGCGGGAGGAAGGTAAACGAGGACCGAGGAGAAACGAATGCAGCGAGCGAATCCAAACCAGAAATGGAAACCGGGACCGTCCGCCATGTTGGAATTTTCCGTGCAGCTCGTTACGCGTTGCCCACCCCGGCGTTGATTAGAGAAAGCGAGCCGAGCGGCGCGAGCGAGCGGAAAGGAATCTAAGAATCGACCCGACTTTCCGTAGCCTCGAAGCGGCGAATCCCCGTCTCGAAAGCGCGCCTCCCCTCGCCCCCTGGCACCGGACAGCTGTCTATTAATACTCCCCTTGGCACTGAGTTCCCGTCGCGCGTCCACGAATAAAACCAGGAGAGGCTTCGCCTCGGTGCCCGGCCCTCCGCGGCGACGGCCGACTTTCGAGGTTAGGATCCCCGGCGGTCCGGGACAGGAAAGGGCGTTCCGGGGGCGCGGCGCGCCGGTCGGTCGCCCAATGGGCGGCCGAGAGTCGCGGGCCTCGGGCCCGAGTCCCGGGCAGGGCCCTACCTGGGGCTTCCGCCGCGCCGATTGGTCCCCGGGTCACGTGCGAGCGGCGAGCGCCGCGCTGCCCGTCGCAGAGTGTCGTCGAGTTCCTCGGGCTCGTCGAGCGGCAGGCCGCCGAGGAAGGCGCGCGGAGAGCTGCGGGAAGGCGCACGAGGGGCACGTAGCGGCTCCCTCGTCGGGTCGCGACTGATATCAGTGGGGGACTGGGGCTTGGGGGCCGAGGGAGAGCCGCCGAGCCCCACCGGGGGGGGGAGGGGGGCGGCGGCACCCCCACGCGGCCCGCTCGAGCCGAACCCCGGAGAGCCTACGGGACGCGGCGGGCCACGAGCGGGCCGCGTCCGTGACGCGCTCCGTGTGCGACGGAGCGTGGGAGGCGAGTCGCGCGCACGCCGCGCGTCGCCTGCACGTCCGGGCCACCGAGGCTCCCCGAGGGTTGCCCCGCGAAGCCCCCCGGAGCGAGACGGGGATGATTTCGCCCTGGCCGATGTGCCGGATTCTTTCGTGACTCATCTTCGCGACGGGCGGGGAAGGATGCCGGGACGCGGCGTACCTTTGTCCGGAGGGTCCAAATATATAGATCCGGCCGCGGAGCGGTCCCTTGGTTTCCTCCTCGTGGAGGATCCACGAGACGCATCTTCGAGATTTTGGCGATATTATTTATTGTGTCGTATGGGCCTATTAGGCCTCGTCGACGATAAGTAATCGCTTTTACGATACCCGAAGATCGCGAAGGGTGCAAGAGCGAATCGGCCCAACCTGCAGCACCCGCTCCGCGGATAGATCCCGGACCCCGTAAAAAAACCGACCGCTAGTTGTACATTTCGCTTTACCAAATAGGCTAGGGTGCACCGCGGCGTTTCAAGTATTTCTATGTACGCGTTATCAAATATCTGGTCGGAGATTACAAGAGATTGCGATAAGCCCAAAGCGACCGAAGACGTACAGACGGAGTAATTATGCGTGTCTGGTTTTCGGCGCCGTGGAAGGAATCGCCCCATTGACCCGATATTTTGCACTTTTTATTCCAATACGTCGATATCGGGGGCACCGCGCGTTAACTGCGATATTCGGTGATAACGTATTATAAACAGTTTTAGATAGATGTCATCTGGTATCAAAAATTTGCACGGAATATAGGAGAACGCAACGGCAAAAAATGGGGTAGGGGAAGATAAATTTATGATAACCTATCGTATTTTTGGCTCCTACCCCGTATCGCTTTCCGTGCGTAAGGTGCTTTTTTTGGGGTCAGGTTATTCTTCTCTGATCGTGAGAAGTTAATACGTGGATGTACCACGCGACAAAGAATTGCGTAATTGCGTTTAAAATGGCCGATTAGAACACGAGAAGGTGTAAATGGAATTAGAGATTTAGGTTTTAGAATCGACCTCTCTTTTTAAGGTCGGATGATAACAGTGACATGCAAAGCCCGTTGACGAAGAATACATACATCCGAAGCATAATTTTGATCGAAATAGTCCACCTTTGAACAACGTCTTGAAGCTGACATAGTTATTTCGTCTAATGGATACTTCTTAGACGGTTCGTTACATTACCCGTGTACGCTGAATTTCGCACAGTTGTATCAATAGGAAAATCTTTGCGTGAAAGATACCATTTATCCCAGTCAATTTATTTACGATAGGACTTACAGAGGTATATTAACGTAACGAATATTGTCACTTGATAAGGTTTTTGTACCTAAGAACATCCCGGGTTCAAGGACTACCACATCGAAAAAAATAGTACACGGTCTATTTTCACTTCCCGTATTGTTTTAGAACGAGTACCCAGCACTGAGGAACAATTTTTTACGAAATGCCCGAAGGAATTCCTCGATAAGCTAGCCCACCATTGATCACTGATTTTGGCTTTTAGGGGCACCGGGCGAATATCGATTCGTTATTTTTAGGGGTCGTCTAACTCCTGCACCCCTCTCAACCCCTGCGTATCCGGTATGGTTATCGCTAATACGACGTCCATTCCGAAGATATTAAGAATTTAAATACGGATTGGTTTCTCTGTACAATAATGCATCTATAGTCACCGTGTCAAATTATTGTCACTCGGTAAACTAACATTGAGGTGCGTCAATGATTGGTCAGTCACTGAGTTTCACTAACTGCTGCGCTTTTTTCAATTAACGCATTGACTAGATCGTGTCGGGTGACATTTTACAAACTGCATCCGTTTGCCCTTTGAAAAATGTGGCTAACAATTTTTTAGGCTTCCTACATTGAAAAGGGTGTCGAACCATTTGCACAATACGTTACGAGAGATACGAGTTGATTTCTTTTCCTTTTTTAGCGGAATTGTCATATTAACGTAATTCCTATCTAAACTGAGAGGCCAGTTGTTTTAAAAAATGTCATATAAAATGTATATAAAAATATCGCATCCGCTCAATTGTTGAGTACGACCTGCTGCCTGACTTATTAATACAGACTTTTTTACACACACAATTATAAAGTTATCGACACCTTTGTACGATGGGCTTCGACGTATACTGCTAAGAGATTTTACGTACACATCAAGTCCACGTGTAACCCTCAGTGGAAAATTTCAGGCTTTCTACGACCTGAATGCGATTCGGATCTGGGTTGCAGAAGTGCACCAATAAATCCGAAGTGAAACCGCAATCGCTAAGGTTTTCCTGGCCAAATACACTCTGCAGTAACTTATCTTCGTCTCTTGATTCCGGTTGTTCGTCTAGAAATGAAAAATTGCCAACATTTCACCGAAGGTTTTTCGGGCGACAAAGAAAATGTTAAAAAACAATTATTTTTACTGGGTGATCATAAAAAGGACCAACCATGGCCGTGTTTTGCTGATGTAAACGAAGATGTTGAGCTCAATTGGGCACAACTCAACGAGAACTTTTCCAACTGACTAGATTCCATCAATCGACACAACGAAGGCATCACGTGAGGCAAAAGGGGACCCTTTAACTCCAAGGAGTGATACCTGTCCTTATCGACTAAAACCACGCTTTCCTTTACCTGTTTTGAGGAATTGAAAAATTTAGTTGCTTAACATCAAGGAATACAATTTTGGTATTTTCATGAGACGCGTCAGATTTAATACTCTATATTTCAAGTAAATCCTAATAGTTCGACCTTGAGTGGTTTCAGCGTTGCTCCATGGAAAGCTACGGGAGACAAAAGAGTTGGTGGTACACCAGCAAGTGCTCCTGTTGTAGAAGTTGCAGATTTGCAGTTAATTAAGAAATTAAATAGAGCCTGTGCCTCTACACCTTTTACAAAGACTAGAGATTGCTTCATGTTGTCGATCTCACTTTCCTTGTCTAGAGCTAACCGTGACTGAAGGATAAGAAAACAATTAGCTTTAAATTAGATTAGATAAAACTGTATGGAGTTCTTTCAAGAAAGGAGGCAAAAATAGGTTACATTAATAGTGTTGATCCTACGGATTTCGGAATCCTCGACACCGATACTCTGAAGCCACTTTTCTTCAGGTTCGTCATCTTCCTCTTCTCCTTCGCGTTGCTCGTCTAGATGATTAAAAGGTGCCGTTGCATTTGAAAGATCCAGAGTATCACATCCTGAGTCCGTTGTATCAGAGCGCCGTTTGCTATCAGTCCTTAGTGGCATCGAGTACTCTATGTCTGTTAAAAGAAATCTCATGTAAATTCTTAACAAAATAAGTGTATCAGATTTCTTAAATATATTTGTAGAAAATCTGGAGTTTCTTGACATTTTACCTTCTTGTTTCAACATCTGGCGAAACCCGCGAGTCGTAGGGGTTAACAAAGCATGAACCTCTGATAGTCCACATATTCCAGCTGCTCGAAAGAGCACGGTGAATGCATTGGCACAAACATAAAAGTAAGGGCATTGCCTTGCTCGCACTAAGTGAAACAGGGATCGAAAGCTCTCGCTCCACTCTTGGTACAGCGCGTCCTTTACAAATTGATTGTTTGACAGTACTAAGTTGCTTGCCAAGCTGGCACTAACTCTGCCTCCTGAGCGAGGAAAGAGCTCGAGCCAAGGTATCGACGGATGTTGCCAGACCAAGCAGCATTGATGAAATCTATGTAAATATTAAATCGGATGATTATTATTGAGTGTACTTAATTTTATTTCCAATAATATATCCATGAATTTAAATAAATAAAATCTGGAACAAATTTTCAAACCTTGCATTAGGACTAGTATCTAATGTTGTTTTCCTCTCTCCAATATCCAAGCACCTAACGAATCCTGTCGTACCCGAAGCTTCTTCGCTGGTCTTTAATTTGACGTTCCATGCAAAAGGTTTAGGAGACATGAACCGCATTTTTGTTTTTAATGTCCAGTCTATAGGAATGTACTCGCTGCCTTTTGGAGCCTTAGGTTCGGTAATGGCATCGCCGCTGTCTAGTTTTGAAAGAACACTAGCAAAGGATAATTGCACGTTCGGAGTTGTACCAAATGTTTTATCAACCTTTGGAACATCTATATGAAAAAGTTCAAATAGCACCGAATCGCTGCTCACTTCCAGATCCGGCGTTGGCACATCCTTTACTTTTTTATTAACATCTTCCCTTGCAAATGGGTTCTTTCTCTTCTGTCCTGTCTGTGATGGGGTACATTCGGGAGAGGTAGTTTCAGTGCTCGAGGGGCCCGCTGTGGTCGAACCTCTTATTCGGGCCTGTAATGCTCGCTTTCTCATTTTGAGGCGATGCAGCTGCATCACCTGGTCTGGTCTTTTCCATTCTGACGGTTCCGCTTGCTCCGGTTCCGCCATTGGAGAGTAACAGGTAAACTTTGTCATGCTATGACACAAAAGACTGCACTCAAATCGCAGTACATATAAAAAAAATAATTTAGCTCACATTCGGTATTATTTTTTATAGTTCTTTTTGTTGCTATCGCACAATCAATTATTCCTTACACACGTTTAAAGTTATTGTATCATTATTTTTTAATAAACCAAAAAAATAGCAATGAGGCTCCACCCTCTATTACATCTTATATTATACGCTAATTGTATTTAATTATAACTGAAACTAACAATTTTTGACCGTAATTTGCACATGAGTAGCGGGCAGGATCCCAACGAAGTGCCGTAAAAATGTAAAGAGAAACGTAAAGTTCAAACTGTAAACGGAGGTAGAAGCTGATACGAAATAAACACCAGCTGTTCCGCGCATCTTCATACAGTCCTCATACCGCGGCTCACGTGACACATACAGTGACATACGTGGCCAATGGCCATGGAGTTCGCAAGAATGCGAAAGAAACTAACACATAAGATGGAAAGGCAGATGCGACAGATGTTCCATCGAAAGGGCGATTTCAATAGTCGAATTCCCGCCTTATTATTTTAAGGGCGTGGAAAAGAAACAGTGGAGGGGATAACCGAAGGAAAGTGAAGTAGGGAAAGTCGATTCGAGCGCTTAGGGTAGGAATTCTCTCACTAGGGAAAGTCCACTGGAAATAACCAATGAGAACGCGGCATTCCTAGTAACGTCTGAGATACAAATTGACACGTTTTGAATAGAACGTCAAGTACATTTCTAAATTATTCCAAAATCTTTATCCATTTTATTACAATCACATTTTTTACTGGAAAATAACTGTAATGTTTTTTTCACCAAATTTCCTACGTATCTAACTGTCCCCCCCCATGACGTAGCGCTTCTATTCGACTGACCTCAATGGTAGCGTCGCTCGGTGAAAACGCGCCACTAATGTGATCCAGGCAGGTCCTTTTCATTTAGAATTTCGAGATGGTAAGTTTGTTTCGTGTTTATAATTTCAAATCCGCGTGCATCGGCGCGATGATGGATTATTTGACTCGGTTGTTAAGTGGAAAACCTAGTGACGAGTTGAAAGAAGGTGGATATCCGTGTATAAAGTGGAATATATAAAACACAATTCGTAAATTTAGGCATCATTCGGTGTGCAGTTTCCGTCACTTGTGACTTTGCACTTGTCCCTTCGCTTAAACAAAACACTTTTTATTTTTGGCCTATTCAACAACGTAAATTATACTCTATCATATCTTTTATAATTAAAAGGATTTGTAGTAAACGTGCGAGATAACGTGTGGCAGTATAACATAACCTTATCGAATTTGTGAGGTTAAGTCAGTGTTAGCAAATGGAGATATGCTAGTTAAATTCGTTAAATCTTTTCTATGCTAGAATTGGATTGATATTAGTTTTGTTGATTGCAGGCTCGTGGACCGAAGAAGCATTTGAAGCGTCTCAATGCCCCGAAGGCATGGATGCTGGACAAATTGGGTGGTGTGTATGCACCACGTCCGTCCACGGGTCCTCACAAACTACGGGAATCGCTGCCACTTGTTATATTCCTTCGTAACAGACTCAAATATGCCTTGACCAATTGCGAGGTCAAGAAGATCGTAATGCAGCGCCTGATAAAGGTTGATGGCAAAGTCCGTACGGATCCTAACTATCCATCTGGATTTATGGGTGAGTGCACGAGAAGTTTTTCCAATAAAGGCCATATCGAAGCTATGGTATTCAAATTATGGATGCTGTTGTCAAATTTTGGCCAATAGTGAATTCCTTGATTATGGTCACTGACTGAATATAACTCCGATTCTGTCCGTATTACCCAAAAAGGATACAAACTTTGTTACGATCTTTAATCTTGTGAGATCCTCAAATTTTCTTTTACCCTGGTTAACTGTCAAGTAATGGTAATAGTTGTATTTAAATTAAAAACGTTGGTCTTTTTTTAGATGTGGTGACAATTGAAAAAACTGGTGAATTCTTCAGATTGATCTATGACGTTAAGGGTCGTTTCACCATCCATCGTATTACAGCCGAGGAAGCTAAAGTCAGTTTAATTGATTTAAACGATTCTTATTCATAATTACCGTGACAGGAAAACTTTCTTAACATTTGGGTTTTCATTTGCAGTACAAACTATGTAAGGTTAAACGGGTTCAAACCGGTCCCAAGGGTATTCCATTCTTGGTAACACATGACGGAAGAACAATTCGTTACCCGGATCCTTTGATAAAAGTAAATGACACCATTCAATTAGACATTGCTACTGGCAAAATCATTGACTCCATTCGATTCGATTCCGGTAAGTAGAAATAAATATTTTGTGAATATATCACATCCTGATATAGATCTAGAAAAAATGAATGCATTACAAGACATAATAAAATTTGCGATACCGTATTAATTGGTTTAACCATTTTTTAACAGGTAACTTGTGTATGATCACGGGAGGTAGGAATTTGGGACGTGTTGGTACCGTTGTGAGCCGAGAACGGCACCCTGGGTCTTTCGATATTTGTCACATCAAGGATTCTCAAGGACACATGTTTGCAACTAGGTATTGTCAATTTGTAAAAATGTTAATATTATCTCGTGGCCGATCATCTAAGCTATGATATTATAATTATTGGTATTTTAGTAAAGCATTGGCCTATATAAATGCAAAACCCTTCTCTAAGGTCACAGAATGACTCGTAAATAGTCTTTTTTCTGTATTACCCAAGAAGGGAACATGAATTTTAAGTTTCAGGTCTTTCTAGATTATTGCTTAAAATCCAACAATTTTATTTTTGAACCGCAGTACTATCTTTTAATATTAATGAAAAAATCCGAATTCTTTCAGATTGAACAACGTGTTCATTATAGGCAAGGGATCAAAGGCATACGTTAGCTTACCGAGGGGTAAGGGAGTTAAACTTTCAATTGCCGAAGAGCGTGACAAGAGATTAGCGGCCAAGGGTGTAAACTAATGTATGTTTTCAAAGAAAAACTCCAATAAACCAGGATTTTCTTGGTAGAACATGTCGTTGCACCACTCCACTAATACCTTCGCTCATTTCCTTTAAAGTAATATTTATACTTGTAGTTCACGTATTGCCAGTAATTAGGGATAGTTATATAACATTATGCTTTGAAGGTGAATCGTTCCTTGTTACGTAAATGCGTTCATTTTTCAACAATTATTTCCAATTGAAGTCTGTAGGTTGTAACAACTGTTCTTACAAGCTAATCTAATTTACAAGGTGATAGGTGCAATTTAATTTGATCTACCTATATCACCTTCGTATTCAGGTCTCATTTCTCCGGAAGCCAAACTTCTGTACTTAAGTCGAGACTTCTGCACAGGTGCTCGTTGCAGTGCTCGTCCCCTAATTTTCCAAATTTTCGCTGAATCTCTCTAGCAGTCCTCAGGTATCTGTAATTAAAAATAAAAATTACGCGGAAAGAAACTCATTTAAGGATCGTAATATAACTAATTACTTCAATATGAAAAGAATGGTCGATTTTTCAGGTATCCTTGGGCCTTCCGAGAACGAGTTACGCGTTATCGTCTTCGACTCCGATGTCGCCTGACGCGTCAATGGATAAACTCTTATCCAGCCTCCTTCCCTCGTACTTGGATCCCTCCAGTCTTTCCCGTTGTCCCAAACGGTGCAAGGATTTTTCGAATTATTACTCTTCGAGCGAGGTCGCAACAGGCCGTTCCTCTCCACAAAGAGGGGATTGTACCGAGACCAAGACTCGTTGCAACGATCCGGAGTGCTTTGGCGCAACTATATTCGGCAATTAATTAACAATCAATTAGAACAAGTGATTAACAGTCGATCATTAAAAAGAAAAAAAATGTTCAGCCTGCTGCATGGGCTCACCGTGTTTTGGGGGTCAGGATAGAGACTGACGAGCGTCATCGGAGCTCGGAGGATCTTGCACCTTTTCTTCGAGTACCTCGCGGGACGACCCTTGGAGGATATGTCGCTGTCGCCGTCGGTGTCGGTCGAGGTTGCCGAGGAAGACCACATCGTGAAGAGGGACAGTCCGGTGTTGCAGACGGGGAGTCCTAGGAGGTCGAAGAGGTCGTGAAGAAGAGGCTTCTTCACCTCCGAATCCACCTCGCAGTCGTTCCCTAAGGCGGGACTGACGTTCACCTGAATCGATCAGGTATTTTACTCAAATTTTGCATTAGGAAGAGGACTCTAACTTTCTGCGCCAAGTGCTCCGGTGATACGTATCGCGTACCTCCAGCAACCAAGGCTTCAAGTTCTCGTCGATCAATATGTCAAAGCCGAATAGTTCAAAGCAGTTAGCGGATTTGGGTATACCAGCCGCCTGGCTGAGAATCGTCAGGCTGACTATACAAGCTATTCGTTGCCACAGAAACCAGTCCTCGTGTCCGACTTGTTCCAGGTACCTTCTGAGCTGGCGAAGAGTCCATTTGCATCCTGCAAAATTGCCCGAGTCCCTTATAAATTTATCGTATCCCTTGCTCATTTTTTATTGTACGCTATCGAAGCATAATCGCGATGAGACGTTAAGTGAGAAAGGGAAAGGATTCTCCGGTCAAGTTCGGAACCGCGTCAAGATCTCGACATAGAAAATCGACGTTGAGATTTCCTTGGCTCTTAACCGTAAATTATTCAACTTTTTCTATCGATCGGTGGACTAGTGGGAACGCATGGACTTTTGGCTGAGCGTGCACCGTGTATCGGAAGTTGACGTCTAAAATGGCATACGGCATGCCTACTAATCATAACATGTCCAACTCCCTGCCAAGATGCGTTCCCTGGTCGTTATCGATGGCCGCAGGGTCAGAGAGGACGTGAAAATAATTCCTACGTGGTGAGTTTTGAAGGTTTAAAAAATGAGAAAGAAAAGAAATGAAGTTTCTCGAACGAAGGATATTTACCGGAACCGACCCTTTCCTTTTTCTGCGAGTAGCCAGGGCCTAATTTGTTCAGGGAACAATTCGTCAAGTGGCTGTAGGGGTTGTCCAAGATGTCCAGGGAAAACTTGTCCGTGGCAAATCGAGCTAATCCTTCTCGATATAAATATACGGTCAAGGGTCTGTACGATGGCACGCAGACGTACAATCGGAGGTCAAATTTGTACCCTCCGATCAGAAGGGGCTTCTCGATGTACCTTTGAACCACGGCCACGTTGTCGTAGGTCAAGTCACACAATTTCTAAAGAAATAAGAAAAATCTACGATTCCTCGCGCCGTTAAAACGTGGCCATATCACAGATCTTGAGTAATTACCCGAAATAAGAAGATTCCTCTTCCTTGGCTCTGCCCCACGGGTTTGTAAATCCAAACCCTGTCGTCGTTGTCTCGGCGACTGCAATCGGCTGCCAGTTTTGTGTATTCCGATGGCAAATTGTAGCCTGAAGGGCTGAAGCGAAAGGAAACTCCTTGGATCACCGGTATTTTCATTTTCTTGCGTATCTTACCTGAAGTCGTAGACCGAACCGTACACTTTTCTCATGCACTTCATGTGACGCAGAAGATTGTCCTTTCTGCATATCGAGCTACCCTTGGGGATATGATTGATAAACTGCAATACGAAAAAATACAAATTTTCTGAATATTTTCCATTAATGTATTCGGTCTTATCGTAAGGACAGGGTTTGGCGAATTATTAAGTACCTGCCAAGGAAGCAACGTCCTGTAGTGCGACAAAGGAAAACATCCCGTTCTCCACCAAAGGTTCCAGCGATCCCTGAATGCCGTCTCTCCTGTATATTCACGCCATCCTCGTTCCGTGCAAACCTAAATAATGAATAAGAGGTTGCATCGGTAAAATTAACTCGGCGCAGGTTTCGCCGAGAAGTGAATTCATGCCGTTTGAATTACGATGCCGATGCCCTTGGCTGATTATCGTGTTATCAGAGCATTAAGTACGATCCCGGTGCACTGTAAGTCAAGGTCCGCAATTAATATTAAAGTCACGAGAGCCGATTCCCCTGCATTTATTCGGTAGCAATTTCTCAACGGAGTTTTTAATTAATCCGTCTAATCCAAATGATGGAAATGACGCACTGCAGCTACCAACCTCAGGTGCACGGCGGGAGTAAAAAGAAATCTTGTCCACCGGTGGAGAATGCATTACCGTCCTCAAGGAGCCAGGTGGAGTGGACTGTCATGACCCGTCTCGGTGAACGAAAAAGACCCCCAGACCTGTACCTTACCACCTTACTCTAATCGCTCTGTTTACCCTCGGTGGGGTTGCAGACCCTCTTTACTCCCCGATCGGTGTACCGAGGCATACTGAACTACCTTCCTCTCGATCATCCCCATAAGGGGGTCGCTTCCTAAAGAGAGGGAAACGAGACCAGACCCCCGATTGGACCTCCTCCATTGTCCTCGACCAATCCTTAAAAACGACGGCTTACAATTTCATGGACTGTGACGTTAAACTCCAGAAAAGAAAATGATATCCCTTTTTTACCTCTTTTTCACTTGCTAGTTTGTTAAGTAATCTCTCGCTAATTCCGGTAATTTTTTTAAGGAAATGCGCAACCGACGTCCGGAATTACAGTCTGTACCTAGCGATAAGTCGGAAGAAACGCGGTACGATGCAATGTCGCGTCTATTTCTGCCGAGGACTTTGTAGCCCGCCTCGTTAGCCAACTATTTCTTGTATCATCCTTGCACGTACGTGCATTCGTGCCCGCGCATGTATAATTGCACTTTTTAGTTGTCTTCGATACAGTATTTGGTTCAAGGATGCGACCGGCTTTATAATCGTGCCGGAATCTTTTCGGCAGGCCCAAAAGCGAAATGCCACGTGCCCCCCTTTAATTAAGCGATTTACGTTCACACTTGAACGAACCTATGAATTAACATTTCTTCTCCAGCTTTACTATAAATTCCAGTCCGATTTTAATTTACCTGCGCTAGGAGATGGGGTCCGGTGCCGTTTTCGTTCAGCCTGAATATAAATGGTCCCTCGCAGCTCATCGCAGGTTTCAATTAATTCCGCCCATTGTCCTGGAAAGAAATGATTTTCATTTCGAACACCCCGGACGCAGCTCGAAATCCAGCCAGAAAATTCCAACCCCGAGGAAGCGGAATATTTTTTTTTTTTTCAGGCACTTCCCTCGTGCGGCAATAACAAGTAAAATGAATTCTTGAGGAGAAGAGTAGAATATTTCCCAAGTTCGGACCTTCTCGGGCGCGAAGCGTGCCGGAAAGGGTCGTGGCATCGCTTGTCAAAATTCCAAAATTTTGGTTAAACGAGGAAGTCGTCCTGCCGGCGAGGGGCAACGGTCGAGGTATTCCGCGGACTGGAAGAAGCGGAGGAAAAAGTCGGAAATCTTGCCGAGTCGGGGAAGCTCGCGGCGCGACTGAACTGATTCCGGATGCGGACCAAAGGACTCGCGGGGTGTTTAACGGGTGCTCCTCACGAAACCTCCTGGCGCAGGTTCCACCTATGTGCCTGGAGGGACCTAATACCGCGCGAGGACCCGGCGAGGTCTCATCCGAAGTTTCAGGGTTCCCTGGGTGTAGGGAAGGACACCCGCCGCACGGAAACCGCTTTCCAGGCATACTAGCTGTGTCGAGAGACACGACATTCGACGGACACGCGATCGGCGCCTCGATCGTCTTCGATCGTCCTCGAGCTTTATGGCTTTCGGCGAAGTCGCCGATTCAACCGGAAAAGAGGAAGAGATTCCGTCCCCACGTTGATCCGCGCCCTGACATCCCTTCGGGCGATTTGCCCGCTCTCTCGACAAAAGCTCAATCATTTACCGTGGACCGTTTTTTAAAAGAGGTTGGCAATTATTTCTGCGGTTGCAAAATCCGAGGTAAACGTCGCAGTGGTTTGGAATTTGTAATCAAAAATCTGTAAAGGCCTCTGCGACCGACTTGGCTCGCCGCCGAGATGGAACTTTCGTGGACGGGTATCGCGCCGATGGTTCTTGACGGGATCGTTGAAAAAGAAGGGCCGCAAATCGGATGGACGTCCCGAAAACTTGGCAGAGTTCTTTTCCGAGTCACGTTCCTAGCCCTTCGTAGAACTTTTTAACCGTTAAATGTGCATATTAATCGCAACTTTCAGGGCCGGCCGCCGAAGCGAAAATCCCGCTCGACCCTCGGATCAACCTGCACGCCACCGGGCGCAGAGATCGTACACGCGATCGCGCTTTCGTATCCCCACCTGGAATTAATTTCAACGGACGATCTTTAGATCCTTTTTTTCTTCCCTTTTGACCTTATTTGGGAAAGGTAAAAGGTCGCCTAAAAGCGTCCATCGGTACTTTGCGGTGTTAGGGGCGGGGGCCCGGAATGGCGTCGCGGCGTGGACGCGCTTCTTCGACCTTTGCAGTCGTCAAGGTTGCCTCGGGGAGGTCCGAGGTGTGCACGCAACGGCTCTTCCGGATTCGCGGACTTCCCTACGGGCACGAACGTTTCCGTTCCGCTCCTCGCCAAGGAACGTCGAGGCTGGTTCAAGTTTGGGCCGAAGGACGGCACGTGAGGTCGACTTTGAAATTGGGACGCGTCGTTTGTCACGCTGACATCCGGCGACGTCGTGACCGCCTCTCGTTCCGAGAAGGCTTCGCTTTTTATCGTTACTTTCCCCGGCAGTTTCTTGGCTAGGCTTTAAAACCGCATTCTGAGTAAACGACCAACATTTTCGAGGAGAGACCTCGAGGGTCGACGACTCGACACGAACGGAAAGCTGGTCCGCGAACGCACAATATCCTACCGGAAACACGCAGATTTGCTTTGCGAAACAACGTCAAGGGTGGATCGCGACTAACGGGAAGAAGCACCACGGATAAGATGAAATTACTCAAACGACCGTTCAATTTATTTTTAAGCAACACGTAACGGGGATACAAAGGATTTTTCCAGTATTTTTTTTTTTCTTTTTTAATCCATTTTCCATTAAATCCAGAAGCTCGTTGATGCGCCAGGCGGCGCGCGCGATTCCTTAAAAGTTAAAAGACCATCTTCAACATTATTCGAACTCAGGCGAGGCTTGACACGACTCGGGAGCGGGGAATCTCCGAAAGGAGCGCAAATTTTCGCATTTAAAACTTCCCGCAAAAAAAATTGCGAAAAAAATTCGTACCGATGAAAAATCCCTCTCTCGGGAAGAATTACGCTTATTTCGGAGGAAACTCAAGAGGCCGAAGAGGTCTAAGGGGATCGTTTTAACGACGACGAGACTTTCCCTTTCGACGATTTCGAGGGGTCCCAAAACGAGATCTCGTCGGCTGTCCCGAGCCCGTGCGGTTCCTTAAAAGTACTTAAGTAATTAATCTCACGCTAACGCTCTCCCTCGTTAAACGGCGGACAAACCGTGCCAAAGTATTGACATGACTGCTTTGGACACGAAGTCCGAACGATGGCACAAAGTCGGCGAGCCCGACCTAACGATTAGTAACGGCGAACTACGGGTCGTTCGTACATTTTTTCTACTTTTTCTTATTTTTTTTTTTTTTTGTTCCTTTTACCCTCGCCACGGCGAGGGAAACTTAACGGGTAGATAACACGGCGAATTCGTAGCACATCGCGGGAAAAATGATCCGCAACCGATCTCCTTGTCGGCGGGAGTTTTGCTGCATTGGCGTTAACGTTTATCTCGTTGCAACGCGAGAGGCGACGTCTTCGTCGGTGCCGCTAATTTTTTTTTTTTAACAAAGCTATCGAGGAGTGTTTCGTGAAAACCCATCGGGCACGTTGTACGTGCGTCTTTGCAAAAGTTTCAATCCACTGTAACTTTGAATTTCACGTTCGTAACGCCGTTTCTTCGCCGGGGCGAAAAAGTGACGTTGTTGGGCGAAATCGCTGTCGATATCGCAAAGCTCCTGAAAAGCTGCGCTCGTTTGCATTTCTTTCTAGTTTCTCCGTATTTCTCATTTTAATCGAATTTATTCCTTGGAACCTCGTTCAAGCTTTTTCGAGCAAGGAGAAAGAAACGAAAGTTGGATAACGCGCGATGTATAATAATTTAGCCAACTCGACGGGTTTTCGCTACCGATTCTCATCGATTTTTCTTTTTTTTTTTTAATTATCTCCTCTTTTCGTTCGATCTCGAAGCGCCTAGGTTCGGTTTTAGCGAGCGTGAGTTTTGCAGAATGGACGACCACCCTTTGCATAGAAGCTCTGTCCCTCGAGGTTCTTTTTGCACATCTGGAGGAAAAGAAATTCATTGTCGTTAAATTGATATGTATTAAAGGAACGTTAATTAGTTTGCGTTATTTCGTGACAATCACCGTGCAGTTGAAGCACTGGCTGTGGTAATTGTTGTTGAGGGCCTCTACCCAGCGGTCGCCAGCTTCCACAGGGAAACCACAGGCGAAGCATTTCGTTGTAAAAAGCTCGTTCCAATCTGAAACGAATTCGTATCGTTTCTCAAATGGCCGTGACCAGGGCAAAATTAAAATCCGTCCTATACCCGGAATTTAATTATATGAAAAAGAAAAAGAAAACTAACCATTTTCGCAGTACGGCGAGCCGTCCTCCAAGAAGAAGGGGCTGTTGCCGAAAAGCTTGCCGCAGTAGCAGCAGTTGAAGCATTCGGGGTGGAAGTGCTTTCCAATTGCATTCAAACAGTCCTGGAAATAAATCGACGAAAATGGTGTATCTTGAATTTGGCTTCGCACACTTGCCGTAAACGATGGGAAATAATTCCTAGGGATAGAATTTCCATGTGGGACTTACACCCTTGATCTTGCTGTTGCACTTGTAGCAATTCGGTGCAATGAATCGTTCGAAGCAGTACTCGCAGTGGAGTTGTCCCTTTTCCTCGACGAAGCCGATTTCGTGCAGCGGTCGACGGCATTGCGAGTTTACGCATATGAAGTGATCGGGACACCAGATTTGTCCCAACGCGGTGATGAAAGGTCCCCTAAGGAGAGAATCGATACGTTACCCTTGGCAAGGAAACGAATAATAAAATTAACACACCTGTCGGCTCCACTTTCGGTCATAGTCGAGACTCCGAAAAACAAGGATTTATATTTTTTACGTCGACTACGAAGGAAAGGTGGCACCTTTTCGCGGTACGATCAAGCGGGCAAACGAGAAAGCATTCGGCATAACATTTAATGCACGTTCAAACGAGGATCAAAGCAACAAAATCATGTTAACTGACTGAAAATGGTCGTGAACGACAAACTTACGAGGGCGTCGTCTACTAGAAGCTTTGACATCGCGCGGAGTAAATCTAAACATTTTCTCGACTGTTCGAGATTAATTTTCAAGGGTTCCCCGGCGACGGATAACATTTAAAAATGTTCTCTCTTTTCTATCCGTCCCCGGTAGCCGTCGAAGCGGAAGTATACGAACCTCGTGATCTCGCAGTTGCACTGACAGCACACCGGCGTCAAGGCGAGCCCGTTGACTAGCTGGTTTCTCTCGTTTTCGTTGACATGATTGTCGTTGTTGTTATTGTTGTGGTGCTTGTTGTTAGTAACGACTCCGTTAACTGCGAAAACGTGCACTCGGGCGGTTAGTCACAGTCAAAAATGGCATCTTTCGAGTCGACTCGTCGAGAAGAGAAATTTCTCCTATTTTCTCCGAGGCGAAACCAACGTCCTACGTTGCGTCTAGTCGCCATGCCGCGCGTTTCCGGTGTTTCCGGCGACACCGATCAAACGAACGAAAGGGTCTACTTCGAGAGCGGAGGCATGCACGGAAGCGACTAAAAAGCCAAGGGAACGGGCAAGACCAGAGACGGGCGCACTCCTCCGGAGGTACCTGACGTAGGAGTTGCAGTGTCCACAGAGAGGAACGCGCGGCCCGGTGGCGGCCTGGTTGAGGATGCCGCGGCCGCGGGTGGGAGCGGTGCTGCCGGCGAAGGAGCCGCCCCTGGAGCCGAATCCCCCGGCACCTAGATCCGGGAGGGACGACAAATTTGGTGGGTCTACTAAATTCTGGGTCTTACTAGCCGGTTGGTTCACGGAGGACGATCGGAAGCGGACCTCGGTGAGGGTCTGGGACTCGGTTTGGGTCTGGGTCTGGGTCTGGACCTGGGGTTTGTACAGCTGGACCACGGGCTTGTCCCGCTTGGCGGTGAGCAGCGTAAGCTGGTTGCCCAGGTTAGTGCGCGGCTCGCGGATGGGCTCGAAGCCCAGGTCGTCGGCCGGGGGGACACCCTGGGAGTTTTTCTCATAGGGCAGGGGGATCTGCGGGAAGGGTAGGCTCTGCCGGAGGTGGGGGCAGGGCTCGGGTTCCACTCTTCCGGAGCAGCGGACGGACTGGGTCGTCTCGGTGACGGTGCAGCTCCGCTGGGGAGGCTCGGATCTGCCGACGGTGGAGACCTTGGTGACGGTGCAGGAGATCCTGGGCGAGGGCGCCGCGTTGACGCAGGGCCCGACGCACACGGAGCCGCAGGAGCAGTGGGAGACCTTCACTCCGGGTCTGGAGGAGATGCCCAGGTCGACGGAGGACCGGCCCGAGGACCGGCCGCAGCTCCTGGCGGTGAGGTCCTTGCAGGGCGAGATGCACAGCCCGGAGCGGTCCGGAGTCGGGACCACGCAAACGCCCGAGACCTCGGAGGACGATAAGGGGCCGTCGCAGGGCACCACGACGACGCCGGCCTTGTCCCCGGATTTGTAGGGCAGCACCGAGACCCCGGTGTCCGAGGGCGGTGGCTCCTTGACGGGAGTCCGGGTCTCGCGGAAAGCGCTGGCGTGCTCCAGCTGCCTCTGGCACCCTCCGGCCCCGTGGGACTCCCGGCAAGTGTCCACGACTACGCTCTTCCGACAGACCTCCTCGCCCTGGGACGTCCCTGAGTCCCGGGGCTCGGGGTCGCTCGCCACGATCTTCCTGCAGACCCGAGTCTGGGTGGTCTCGCAGGGTGGAGGGCAGGGGGGCAGGACTCGAACCCCGGTCCTGGGAAACCTCTCCGACCTGTCCTGGACCGCGGGGCACGGCACGACGCGAGTGACTTTCCTGATCGTGCATGTGGTCTCCACCTCCGGGACCGGCTCGGGCAGGGGAGTCACTTCCAGCTCCTCCTCCTCGACGTCCACAAAGTGCTCGGTGACGTGCTTGGTCTTGGTCACCTCCTTGACGGTGTTGGGGTCTATTTGTTCGGAGGTCTGGGTGGTAACGTCCTCGTCCAGCTTCCACTTGCGCTCCGACTCCTGCTTGGTAATTCGATGCCTCCCATCGTCGGTCACGGACACCCTGCTCTCTCCGTAGGTGCAGGTCAGGTCCTGGACGCGGTGCCCCCCGGGGATGTCCTCCTCGAAGTGGTACGTGACCGACTCCTTGGGCGGAGACTCGACGGTGACTTGAGCCGGACACCTCGGCGGCGGGGGGTCGTCCCTAATCCTGGGGGCCTGGGCCTTGACGTAGCAGGCCGGGGGCTCGGGGGGACCCTGGGCGGGGGATTTGCACCTTCCGGGAGTGGGCGTGGGGGTCCGGCTGGGCACGAACGTCCGAGTGTCCACGGGACCCTTCTTCAGACACACCAGGTTCCTCTGGTAGGCCGGGATGGTGTCCGGCTTCCGCAAGCCCATGGTCGCGGGTCGACCGCCGGGGGTCACGGGCCTGGACCCGACGGGCGACGAGTCCCGCAGCTTGAAGTCCGCCGGCGGGGTTGGCAGTGGCTGGGGAGTGGACTTCCCGCAGACCGTCCGCTCCTTCCTGGTGCAGCTCCTCGAGTCGGCGTACAGGATCTCGGCTGGGTGGCAGAGTTCCTCTCGGGCGACTCGGACGGTCCGCGTCTCGGTGGTGGTGCGGACCTCGTCGGGCCGCTCGGCGCGACCCAGCGGAGTGTAGGGTCGTTCCGGGGCGGTGGTAAGCGCCTCCGTCAGGGGTGAGGCGCGCCCTTGGTCCTCGCCCGCCGGACAGTAGGGTCGGGTCAGCTCCGGCAGTCGCGGCGGAGCTGGACGGTAAGTGCACCTGCAAGTGTGGACGCAGGTAGTACACGAGTCGGCCCCTCCCGAGGTCCTCTCGCTGACGACTTCCCGCGTGTAGGTCTCCACCGGGGCGTCGTCGTCGACGGAGCAGGCGGAGAAGGGCGAGAAGGGGCGGTCGGGTGCGGTGGTCAGCGCCCTGACCATCTCCGACTTCCACTCCTTCGGGGTAACGTTCTTGACGGGCGACAGAGGTTGCGGCCCCTCCTCCGTCTGCTTGACGAACTGCACGTGCTTCTTCTCCACCGTGGTCTCCCCGCAGCCGACGGGCCCGTACCGGGTGGTTACCTTCTTCTCGGCGAAGGTCTGCCGCCGTTCCGGCGCCTGCTGCTCCCTCAGGCTCTGATGGACCTCGACCTGCTCCCGCAGGCTCCGCAGGCGCTGCTCCTCCAACTCCCGCTGCCTGATCTCGACCTCCTTCGTCAGCTCGCTGAACTGCTCCATCCCCTGGGACTTGCGGGTGGTCCGGCAGGTGGAGGTCCCGCTGGCGTTGCTCTCCTCCTGCACGAGCTCCTGCCTCTCGGTGAAACAGACCTTCTTCTCGCCCTTTCTCTTCTCCTCGGCCTCCTGGATCCTGATCGCGTCCGCCCGCTCGTCCATGGCCACCCGCTCCACTAGCCTCTGCGTCTCGACCACCGAGGACACGAGGTCCGCCGAGTCGACCACGGTCCTCCGGTCGGAGATGTTCTCCACCTCCCGGTCCACCTCCTCCACCTTGATCTCCGTGATGACCGGAGGGCCCGGCTCCTCCTCGCGGTCCAGGCGTTGCACCGTCTTCTCCACGGTGACCGTCCTCTTCACGTGGACGTCCCCCTCGTCTTCCTCGGTGGTCTCGGTGTAGAACTTGTGCTCGCCCTGGACGTCCTCGTTGGCGTCCGGCGGCTCGACCTCCGGCCGACTCTCCACCTGCACCGGGATGATTCTGGACCGGGGCTCGTCGTCCACGTAGGTGCAGGGCACCGGCTCCGGGAGGCGCTGCACCCGCTCGGTGCGATGCTCCTCCCAGCGCGTCTCCCTCTGCTCGGTCCCGGAGAAGCCCTCCCTCTGGCACACCTGGCTGTGCCGGCAGACGGTCGCGCACCTCGGGGGCGGCTCGTAGACGCTGACGCCCGTCGTCACGGTGGCCGTCCAGGGCCTGGGCATCGGCTGCGCGATCCGGGTGGGCGTCAGCGACCGGCGGAAGCTCTCCCTCGAGGACGGCCTCGACGACGGGGACCTCGACTGCTCGCGGCGGAACTCCTTGACCGTCTCTACCCTACGGTAGGTCTGCCCAGGGCGATCGACCGACTCCATGCTGGCTTCCCTCTGGAAGGTCCGCTCTCGATAGTCCTCGCTGGTGTCGCTGCCGAAGCTGTGCCTTCGCCTCCTGCGGATCCTCTCCGACTCCTTGGAGCCCCGCCGCCTCCCCGGCTCGGGATTGGGATCTACGTAGAGGGGACTCGCGGTGGGGTAGGTCACTTCCTCGATCGGCTTCGTCGGCGGCCAGACCAGGGTCTTGGACTTGACGGAGCTCCTCTCCCGGTAATCCCCCTCTGCTCGGGGTCGGGTTTTGGGTTTCGGGTTCCCACGGGTGTCCCGCGAGCGGTGTTTAGTCGCCGACGTGGGGGGAGGGGGGCAAATTCACAAGTGCATGCAGTTTGTCGCAGTGGGACGTGGTTATTCACGGGGACGGGTTAGCCGTTGGGGTAGGTTAGGGCCGGTTAGAAGAAAGAGAAGAAGAAAGAAAACCTGTGGTGAGTAAAAGCACGAGTTCGAGGGTACGCAGTCGCGGGTTCATGGATTCGTTGTTCGGCGAATGGTTGAAAAATCTTTCTCGGGCAAAAAACGATTCGGGGCCGAAACCAGAATCCGCGATTACGTCCCAAGGCGTCTAGCTAAGAGAAACGCAAAATAGGCGAGCCTGATAAAGCCTGCGGTATGTCGCTTATGTGTATCTAACGCAAATGAAATTCGGAACGAGCGACCCTCCTTTTTCCGATGCACCGCACTCTACGCTGCGAAAAAAAGACTTCTCTTTATGAGATCTACGATTCGGGCGGAACTGGAAGGATGTCGATGAAGGAGGAAATACGGAACATCGGAGGAGAAGCGAGGAACCGATAACGGCTCGTCTCTGCTTTGCGGCCGACTAGGATCGCCCACGATTTTTATTCTTTTTTCATGAGCCAAAAAAATTCTCTAGGAAAAAGACCTTTAGAGATTTAACCGAACCCTTTTCCTCGATGCATTCCAATTTCCACGTCCTTTCGAGACCTTCGGCCAGGAAGTCAAAAAGCAAAGTGCCCGCGGTATCGAAAATCGTGGAACCCGGACCGGAATGTCGGAAGTCAAAGAGAGACAAAGAGGGAATACTACGCAAACACGTCATTCTCCCCGAGGATACCGCAAAGTAAAATTCAGGACTCCTCCGTCTTCCCCGAGGAAGCGTTTAATTAAGAAAATGATCAACCTCGCGTTCAATTTCTCTTGGCGGTATTCTCGTTGCATTCAACCGATTAGGGATAAAAAAATAAAAAAGAATATAAATAGTTTATTTTCAAAGAGGAACCAGTCAAGGGAAAGAACTTGAGTCTCGCTTCGACAAAGTTCGCAAAGACCTCCTTTATTCCGGCACGGTCGTCGCCTCGGCGACGTCTCTTTCCGGTTACATCGTTTAAAAAGCGCATCGAGATATTTTCCTTTGCCATTCTGGTTCGCAAACTTTAGCAAAAACCCGAGCTCAGATTTCGGAACGAGCGATTCGATTTCGGCTCGGACGTCGAGAGCTAGCTGTCTCGCTCATGCGAACGTGAGGGAAAAGGGTCGAGGTTTAGGGTTGAAAGATGGAGCTGCTGAAAAAAGATAAGAAAAGAAGAATTATGTGATAAGCGTGATTACGCACGTGATAGGAATCTTGTTAATCTAAACGAGTAAGATCGTTTAACGTTCCCCTCCGCGCATCGCGTCGCGCAATTAGCCACGTGGTATTCTACTTTACGCAATGGTCACCACCTAAGCAAGGGTTAAATCTACGTTAGTAACCCTTTCCCCAATTTTTGCAACTCGACGAAACATCGCGGATGAGAAAAGTCCCGGTCGAAAATTTTCTCGTTAACCGCGGGAATCGATGCTCGATCGTATCGTCGATCGAGGAGGGTTTCCTCGATTAAAGTTCGACGAAGAGAGCGAGAGAGTCGCAACGAGGGAGATGGGAGATCTCTGCGGCGGACTCGCGAAGAATCGAGGGCGACTGGCAGAGCGAACGAAGCGAGATGACAGGGGTGACAGGCGATCGTCTGCCAAGACCGAGGCGAGCGGTCGACACAGACGTTAAGAGACGTTAAGAGACGGAGCGCAAGCCAAGAAAACGAAGCCATAGCCCATTTCCACTCGACGCGTCATACCTTTGAAGGGTGAGCTTTTTGACTTTGGCAGGGTGGAGAATGGACCTATTTTCACAACAATCGAATTAGTACCCTCTTCGAGGCTCTCCGGTTACCGAGAAAAAAAAAAAAACCACTTTCCCACGAAATCCCAGAATTTTCGCCGCGGAATCCTGAATCCGCGCGCGGTTGCTCCCGAAAATCCCTCCTCTAAGGGATCTCTCGGAGCCGCCAGGGTGCCCGGGTCGCATTCGGCTGGCTCTTCTCTCTTCGATCGCCTCGCAGAAATTCGCATGGTACGCGACCCGGAAAAATTTTCGGAAGGCAAGGTCTAGGCGGAGTCCGGAGTTGACTCGCCTCGAAGGACGCGAGAAGAGACTCTTACCTCCTGCGGTTTGACTCTGCGGACGCGGCAAGGTGTTGCCGGAGCTGAGAGGCGGCGAGATGGGTGCTGCCGAGCTTCCGAAGGGCTTGGGTCCGCCGATGTTGTTCCCGGTGGGTGCCTGCGAAGTATTCGACTTGATTCTCTCTCCGAAGTACGATCCACCGAGTGGCTTAATTTCGGGCGCGCGCACTCGCGACGTTCGACGATTCCGACTCGACTCGAGGATCGTTCCCGAAAAAATGACCGAACCGCTCCCGGACTCCTTCCGAGAGGCGGTCCGTTCGATGCGAAAAATCTACCGAGACTCGATATTAGGCCATTTCTTTAGGTACCTTTTACGAGCGATCTAAGTCGATATCGAGACGGGCCTGCCCTGTCGTCGGGTGCGCGCGGATCGAGGGAGCTACCTTCGGCTGGCTCGCTCGCTCTAGTTAAGCGTATTAATCGTTCGAAGACGTTACCTGGACTGGACGCAAACTAGGTGGATTGACAGGCGACGTGCCAAGGCGGGTGGGCTGCAATGCATAACGACACAACGAGTCACGTGCCATGTACCGCCAGGATTGCGAAACCGGAGTCAATTAGTCATCGGCGTCGGAATAGAAGCTCGCGCGGAGGAAGCGGCGACCCGCGAAATTTACCCTCTTATCGGGTCGCGTTCGATCGCCGATAACGTCCGGACGTCAAAATTAACTCCTATCGGGTTTTTGGAAACCAGGAAAATGCTACCGAAAAACCCCACCGTCCCGAGGAAAATTTCAATCGTTGACCCACCGCGATAACTCGAACGTCTCCGACAAGGGACGATATACGACGTGAAGCGACCTGGACCGATTGGAAAATCGGGACGACCTGGACATTCCAAGGCGTTCCTATTTAACCAGCTGGGATCGCGTTTATTTTTGCATCGCGAGTCATCCTTCGACTTCGAGATGCGCGCATCGGGTATTTTGGATATGCATGCCGTCCTTGCTATGCGGTAAGGTGTATCGTTATTAGCGATGTTGGGGGTACGCGACGTAATCGCGACTTTAAGAGACGCCCGGTGGGGAGTTTTTCCGTTCTTTTTTAGGCTACACGCGTCGAGTAACGAGAGGGTCGAATCGAGAGAGGGACCACGTGCCTCGCCAAGGCGGACGGACGTATAGAAACGTTGACGGATGTTTCCTATCGACCCTGGGACGTTCCTCCGTGCGAGCTAGAACGGCCAGAATAGGACCTCGACGACGTTGGACGCGCCTTCGAGGAACGACCTCGACGGAAGGCCGAAAAAGGACTTCCGTTTCCTCCGATTACGCGTATTCGATTTCACGCGTTCAACGTCGCCGGGCCCGAAGTCTGCGTGCATGGGAGGTCAGCAGCGAAATCGGCCAAACCAGCGCGTTAATTTTTAACCGAGCTCAAATTTCACGTCAACATCAAACGAGACGGAACGTGGGTCCCTGTCGGTCCAGTGACGGTGTTCGACCCAGGTTTTCGGGAACGGGGGAGCTTTCCCAACCCTCCTGGACATCCGTTCTTCCCCGAGCCCCGCGTTCCGATCTCCCAGTGTATGTCGAGGATTCGTAAAAATTGAGGAGAAAAAAAGAAACGTAAATATAGGGAACGGATCGGTCACCTGGCACAACATAGAGGTATAGGTCTTGGGGGTCCTGGATGCCGGGGGGCCGTCGTCGATGACGGGGTTAAAGAAAATCTCGCAGACCTCGCCCACCTTCGGGGCATGGTCGGGCTCCTCGAGGTCGAGGTCGTCGGTCTCTTTGGTGCCCGCGAGGCGGTTAGGGGAGCGGTTAGAGTCACTCGCAAGCACGCTGCCGTTGGTGCTGCCAACCTCGCCGCAGGTCCGAATGGTGAGGGTGCTCGTGTACGTTTTCGAGCCGCATACGCCGTTGGAGGTGCCATTAGCTAAGGTCCTGGTATCCGAGTACGAGACCCCGCTGGTCGGTCGTGGAGGACGTTGACGAAGAGTCGCCCTTGACCCGACGGGACTCGAGCGGTGGCAAGCCTGCAAAAGCGATTAGTCCTGCGCTGCGAAAACCATGCCAGCCTTAAAAAACGCAAGCTTAAGGACGACCTCCTTTTCGAGGTCGGAAGCAGCCAAAAACCTCGACCGGTCTAAACCAGCCGAGCTCGACTATCGAGAAGGCGAGCTTGACGTGCAAGACACTCGAGAATGCGCTTTCTGCCAGGTCCACGCAAATCCATGCTCCTAGATTTTTGTCCTGTCCACAGGTGCTCCGATATCGTCCGGGATCTCCGCGTGGTAAATTTCACCGTATAATACGTTCTAATCGAGACGAAACGGACGCTTCTCGTGGATTTATCATTCTTATCGTCGACAATCGTCTCCGAACTTACGGAAAAGGGCTGAGGCGAGGAGTGGCTGTTCAAGGAAGGCGACCCTGGGGCGGGGACGCTGGGCAAGGCTGCGGAAATCGTCCCGGCTGGGGTTCTTCCACCTCTGGAAAGGGCAAAGATATTATTAAAAAGCGATCGGGATATCTCCTTGTCGTCGAATCCGTAAATATGCAGGATATTGCGACACCGCCTTCGATATCGGACGCAGTCAGGTATGGAAAGGTTAATCTACCAAAGACACGTCGCTGGTCTATTTCCAGAGAAATGTCGCGGCGATTTATAGTCGACTTTCGGAAAATATCAAGCGTCTAGCCGGTCCACTGAAATCCGGAATATTTGCATGCGAACCGTGAGTAGAGGTAGCACGTGGGAGGGCATCGCGTCGAAATGTCGACCCGCGAGGTGGCGGACCGAGTGAAATGGAAAAGTGGAAATCCACTTTCAGGTGTCGATGGCTCGGTGAACCATTACCAATTTTTTTTCCAAGGTTCTTCGTGGTCGGACCGAATTTTTCGGAGCCTGCGTCACCTTTCAAAGGTGCCCGCTTCGAGGACCGAGGTATTTCTCAAGGTCTACGCCATTATAATTTTTTTTTTTTTGACGAAAAAAAGGTACGCGCGATATGATTTCGCTGCTCGCCGCCCTTCTAAGGGGGACAAGAATTTCTTCGAGAGCAGAAAGGACACGCATGATACCACTTACGGAGGAACGGTGACAGGTGCAAGACCGGCAGGTGCATTCTGCCTGGCAACCAGTTTCGCGTGGATGTCGCAGTAAAGCTTGTTGTTTATGTTGTAGTACCCCACGTTCTTCAGGGAAGTACCGCAGGTCGAGCACTTGAAACACTCGACGTGCAAGTTCTTGTCCTTGATCCTGACGAAGACTCCGCTGCAAAGGAGGAACCAGAGAAATCATTCAACGTCCTCGATCGAAATCGCCCAAAGAGACGTTTCCCCTGGAAGAGAAGAAATCGGTCTTCTTCGAGGAGTCACGGAGGAGATTCCTCTCGTTACGTGTAGAGGATTATTGCGTGAAAAAATTGTTAATTCCCTACACTCCTTTCGGTAACAAAAAGAAAAAAAAAAAGGTTATCTCAACAAGACAGCTAATTTCCTCGAACTTGATAACTCATAATTGCTGTAAAATTTCACGCGGAATTTTAATCGAGAAAGCCCGAACAACTTCGAAGACGAATTTCGATGAAAAATAAATATTTGTTTACACCGAGGAGACGACAAGTTCGGCGGAGAGGTGAACGAATATCGACTCGGTGAAGACGTCGAAAGGTTCTACGAAGCTCGACGCGTTCTTCCTCTCCCGCGAGTCAAACGTTCGAAGAAAGGAAGAAATCGGATCAAATCGTGTCGCCAAAGTATGATCCATCGGCGAGCTTTACGAACTACCATTGAAAGCTTCAAACGGTTTTGGGATTCTAGAAAGCCGTCAAGAGTGGTCCCCTCGTTCGAGGGAGCGGACGAGGAAGGCGCAGACCAAGGGGAAAAAAAAAAGAGAATGAACGCTGCGAGGGAATCGTCCTGGAACCTTCTTGGACGGTTTCCAGGGCAGGAAAGCGCGCGTCCTGCGCGGAAACCTTGTCTTTTTGGCAGGCGTTAAGAGGTCACGTGCACTTACCACATTCATCGTATCTAGTGAATTTTTTTTACAAATGGCAGGAACGACCGATTACGAGTACATCAAGAGGTACGATTTTAAAGCAAATCAGGCATGTCATCAGCAGGCACGTCGTCTTTTTGCATGCCGGGGCGAACAGACGCGAGATACCGGATCTGCCGAGAGGGAAGCTCAAGATGGCGTCGAAAAACCTGGGGAATAATTTACAGAAATCTGCCCCGCGTCTTCGCATTCCCATTCGCATCTTGATATTTTATGCCCTTGATAAAATGAAAAAAAAAAAAGGTCCTTCGTCAAAGATGCGACGAAGCTTCCTGGGAATGCAGATTTCCATAAACCCTTCGGCAAGTCTGGGACGCCGTAGTGGTCTCAGCGCGAGATAGGTCACAGCCAGAGACAACATCAAGAGAGAACGGAAACATCTATTGGCGAGTTCATAGTTACACGATGGCTTTGTCGCAGTTGCGACAAATCGGAGACTCGAGCGAAGAGGAGGGCTCCGGTTCGTTCCCCGAAGAGCAGCGGACGCCCCGAGGATCCTGGGACTCCTCCTGGCCCAGGGCCCCCAGCCTAGGCGTGGGAGACCTCGGAGAGGTTGACCTTCCACCAACGGCGTGGCTCGCCAGAGAGTAAAACTCGGTCCGAGGTGGAACTGCGACAGCAACGGAGCACCGTGACGGGCGGAGGAAAACGCGGCCCGGTTCCCGGGGAACCTAAATCTCGGGACTCTCCGGCGGTCACGGCAAAGGGCGGCCCACGTCCTTTCTCACGGGGGAGCCGACGATAACGAGTCCTGACCGAGATCGTCTTCACCCAGCCTCGACTTGTTGTCTCCTCCGCGAGTCTTTGCCGGGGGTGACTTACACGATGAGTCTTTCGCAATCCGCGCAGATGTTCTGTCCTGGAGGCAAACTACTCTGCGGGGTGGTCGGCTGGGGCTTCGTCTCTGGCGCCGACACCGGTCTCAAGCCCGTCAGGGCTGGCGAGGATGGCGTCACCACGCCGCTTTGCGCAGTTGGCTCCACTAGTTTTGTCAAGTGGTTGGTTTGCGGGCACACGGAGTCGCGGGACATGAGCATCGATTCAACGTCAGATAGGTGTACCGGGCGTAAGAAGCGGATCGCGCAAGGACTCGGAAAACCCGAACGTAGTTCTTCCGGGTCTCGCTCGAGCCCCGACGGGGATGCCCGGAAGAACTGGGTTCGGCACCGCGTTCGCCGTTACGTTCCACGACATGCAATCGAACCTCGTCGCGTTTCCAAGGGGGTCTCGGATACCCAACGGATCTCTACTAACCAGGCTCCGGACTCTTCGGCTCCTTGTCCGCCTCCTGGACCATTTTGAAGACCTCGCTGTTCTGCGCGTTGTAGTTCTTCTCGTTCTTTTTGAAGTTCACTCTGAAACACGTCGTCTCGGTCAGTACCGACTTACGAGGAGGAGACCCGCGGTCGAAGGAACCTCACCCTAGAACTCCACCAGCGAGGACCTCGGCCTGGGCCGACAAGGTTTCCGCGATGGTTTCCTCGCTGTAGATCCCGACCGGACTGTTGTACTGCTTGTTCACGATCGACTTGATCGACCCGTCCCCGGTTCCGTTGAGCTAAACCAGAAATATTAAAGGTATTAATTAATAACCCGCTCCGAGGGCTCCCGATCGCGAAGGGTCGCGACCCGATCTTAAGATCCGAATTCATTTCTCGGATGGGGAGGAAAAATCGCAATCGCGGAATGTACTAACGAAAGGTTTAGGGCTGAAATTGTGTCCACTTCCGATGAGGGGTCCCTCCTGCTTCTTCGGGGCCAGAGACGTTTTCGTGACCGGCGGAATACTGCTGGCTGGGATGGAAGGCTGCGGCGACGGAATACTCGCCGTCACCGGAGAGACGCTCGGCTTCCACGTGCTTCCGCCTCTGAAAAAAATGGAGAATTCTTCGAGCCGCTCTCAACTATTCGCCGATACGGCTAACTCCAACGAAGGGGAAGAAGTCGCGCACTCCGAAGAGCGCGACCGCGTTACCTTTGAACCGTCAGCTCGAAACTGTTCCCAGCCCTGACGATGACATCCTGGGCGTCTTTGTGCCTCAGATTGAAAACCTCCGTGCCATTGACCCTGACGACCGAATCTCCGGCTCTGAGACCGGCGGCTTCCGCGGGAGATCCTCCGTTCACCTGAAACCAACGAGCGGGGATTAATTCCTCATCCCTCGTGCCAGACGAGAGAATCGCGGCGGACGTTTTGTCGGGACCGGCAACCGAGGGGTAGAGTATCGGGGGCGGGAAATCGGCGATCCCCACGAGGCGATAAAAGCGACGCATTAATACGAGCCATTAATCGGGCGAGCCAATGCCCGAAGGAACCTCCTTAGAGCGAGCCCGTCTATTTTTAAGCGACTGGACGACTTCGAGAGACGCGAACGCTCGCGGCTGCGATCCAGGCTCCAGCCATCCACCGTCATCGACTATATTTAAGCCCAACCGCTCCATTCCGTCTCGAATCTCGAGTACTGTGCCTCCATTCACTGGCCCGCCGGGGGAGGAGGAAAACGCGGACCGAGACGGGATACGCGAGCCCGACGATATTCAGGGAAGGTTTATTCGCGCCCCGGGAACGAGGCCCCCGATGACGCGCCGCCATGTGCGAGCCTGGTTCCGGGGACGCGGCAATTTTTTAAACGTTTCAAGATCGACGGACGCGGCAATTTTTTAAACGTTTCAAGATAGACGGGGACGCGGCAATTTTTTAAACGTTTCAAGATCGACGGAGACGCGGCAATTTTTTAAACGTTTCAAGATAGACGGGGACGCGGCACTAATCGTCGAGCCGCGAGGATGGTCCACGGATTTTCTCCGGAATTACGACGGCTCTTGGACGGGGATTACCGATCGAGAGAAAATTCCTCCGGGGCGATACGTCCCCGATTGGTCACGGTGGGAAGAGGATCTGAAATAATTAATGGACCTCGTCCCGATAGGAGACGATCGGTGCAGGAGGCCTCTATAAATACGCCCCCCCGGAACGTATCGCCGTTATTTTTATTTCCGAGCACTCCTCGAGGGGCTCCTCGAATCCGCCGATTCGGCGCCGGAACTGCTCGAGAGGACTCGGAGGAAAAAGCGAGATCTCCCGCCTCGTCCTTCGTCCGGATGTGACTTTTAATCCTAGAAAATTCACGTACCCGGGTCGCGAGTGGGCACGGGGCGATCGAACGATCGGCCCTCCGGGACGGTCCGTGGCGACGTTTTCGGTACCCTAGGAGACGGTGCCTGGAGGCCCGAGAAGAGCGGACTCGACCGCGAACCGCGTCGTTGCGAAAACGAGGGTCGCGGCGCCGAGGCTCGTCGACGGTGACGCAACGTCTCTTCTGCTATTTGCGGCGTGGAGGCGCTCCTCTCGAGGAGGTCCGTCGCGTCGGCGTCGTCTTCGAGCCCGGACCCGGGCCCTGGAAGGACCTTGACAAATATTTCTGGCTGCGAGTCCGTCCGAGAAGCCGCGACTTCTCTCGGATCGACCCAGTTTTCCCGACGCGTCCCTCCTTCGATATTCATTTCCCATCCCATTTAAAGAATTTCGAGGTTCGGGATTAAATCGGAGAATCTTAAAACGGGGAAGGAAGCGGGCTGGAATTCCTTGCGATCGGAAAGTCGTTCCCGAGGACTCGCGGCTCGCGTCGGTGGGTGCATCCTGCAGATGTCGCGAGCGGGCTCGGTGTAAGTCAGGGTTAAGCCCGGTGGACCCTGGGCGCGTGCTAAAAATAGAGGCGGACCGGTCTAAAAATAATGGCTCCTCTCTCTCTCTCTCCCCCTCGGCCCCTCTCCCCGGGTCTCCCTCGTATGAATGCGCGGGGTGCGTGCGCGCGGGTTTACCGGCGTCCAGAGGTGTACGCATTCCGATGGCCGGGTTTATATCGGAGATGGATCCGTCCCACCTTCCTCGCTGGAATGCATCCGATGTGCGCGACTCTACCTAACCTCTCTCCAAGCGGACCCGGGACCGGGGCCCGAGGAAAGTATCGCGCCGCCTCGACCGCCGATCCGCGTAACCTCTTTCTCCACGGTGAGAAACGTATCGCTTAATCCCGGCCACCATCCCGGACGGTCGACGCTCTCGGAAAATCCCCGACCAAGGATATTTCCCTTTCCTACGATTTTCCGGTCTTACGGCGACGGCGCGACGGAAGCGCTTCTCCAGCCCGTCCGGAGGGCGCCGAGTCGAGACTTTCACCTCGCAAAGTGCGAGGCCAGGGTCCGATCCGCGCACCGGGTCGGAGAATCGAGCGATCCGTCCATTTTCCGTGACTTTCTCCAGGGAGGCACTTTTCGTCGCCGAGGACGAGAGGCCGAATCGCGTCCCTCGCTCGCGTTTCTCCGCGGGCCGTTTCCACCTCGCGTATCCATTTACCATTGAAATGTATCGTCGGTCGATTTTCTCGCGGCTCCTCTCTCCGCGCGGCATTTTTCGCCGGTAATTACCACGTTTCGCCTACTCGTCCCCCTGACCTCGGAGGCGCGATATCGATAACGCCGTCCAGCGGAAGTGCCCGCGTTTCGCCCCCGAGACTTCTTCGTGCCCATCCGAGGTGGCGTCCTTTTTAAACGACTCCACCCGCTCGTTTCCACCGTCCGGTCTTCGACTCGGGAAAGACCGGCTAATCGTCCTTCCCACGGTCGTTATTCCGCGATCCTTCGAAAAGAGGGACGGGAGAAAAAACGAAAAACCCCCCGAGAGCGCGAGACCGGGGATAATCGGGAAGGATGAATCAACGAGGGGGAGGGAACCGGACGCGCCGTTTCCGTTTCCTTTGGCGACGATCCCGGGTGAACTTCCTCGCGAAGGACTCGCTAGGTGCCGAGGCGAAGGGCGAGAAACGAAAAGGAACGAAAGAAATCTCCAAAAGGATATCCTCTCGGTTAAGGCCAACGGATCCTGGGAAACGCGTCACCGGCTCGTGGCCGACGGTCGCTAAGAAATTCTTTCGCGACTGGTTTCCCTCGAAATCCTAAATAGGTCGGATCGTTTCTCCTTTTCGATCGCCGGAGCCCAAAACCGGAGGAATTCCGCGAGGAACTCGCGACCGCAGCTGACCGGACGCAAGAGGAAAGTCGCAAAAGCCAGCTCACGCGTTGGCGGCGAATGCCGGCGCGGCCTGAAAAAAGTGAATCATCGCCGCGAGGATGCTCATCCTGGACCTCGTCATCCGGCCGAAGCGGACCGATTTCGAGTCGACGGCCGCGACGAAATCGATCGGTGATCTCATCCGCTCCGAGTGCGCTTTGTCCGCGCGAGGGAGACGCCTCGGGCCCCGACGAGGAAAGGACTCCGGCGGTCGGGCTCGACGAAACCGGCAAAGGTTCCTCGACGCGGCAACAAGTGCGAGCGGTCGACGTTTCCCGTCTCGAGGAAGACGACAAGAAGACGATTAAACGGGGGCCAGGGGCCCGTAAAACGCGCGCCTCGCTATGGGTGTCGCGTTACCGCCGCGGAGGAGAAAGATGTCACGCCTCGGCCGCGACTTTTGGCAGATTTCCCGAAGCGGCGCGCCTCGCATCGGCCGTCGCGGCCGCCGGACCGAGCGAATCGCCGTCGGCCCGAAAGCCTCGTAAATCGATATCGAAATAGCCATTACGTTCCCCTGCGGTCCACGCGGCCGCCGAGAAGCCGGAGACGAACCCCGAGACCGCCTCCGGCAACCGGACCGGGATGGAATCGCGGAAACGCTTCCCGAGTGGAGGTCCTCGAGACGACCGCGCCTCCGTCTCTCGGAAGGACGGCGAGGCCGAGCATCGGGGATTCGCCGAGTCGCCCTCGAAGTGGCGGCCCCGAGAAAAGGAACTCTTCCGCGTTGCCCGCGGGCGGATCCGAAAATATGCTTCCCTCCCGCGACTCGCTCGAGGGCGAACTCCGTTTTGCGTCGTCGGGCGAGGAGGTGGGTTCGCGATGGCCGACACGAAATAAAAGCGATATTTTTATATCCAGGAGAGCGAGGCTTCGCCCGCCGCCACCGGGCCTCGGCCTCTATTAATATCCGCGGACCGGGCTTCCTCTCTCTCTCTCTCGCCCTCCGGGATTTCTGCATCCTTCTCCCGTTTTATCCCGCGCACTCGCATCGGAAGCGACGAAGCTTTTGTTGCTCCGAGAACCGGAGGTCCCCGAATCCGGGACCGAACGATCAACGGGGGGTCGATTTCCCTCAAAGGCAGGAAAATTTTCAAATGAATTTTAATGAAATTCCATACGCTTCGATCGGTATTAATTCCCAATGTCGAGACACCGAGCCGACTCGAGATGCGATTTTTTTTTCTTTTTTTTCTTTTTCTTTTTCACGGGGAAACGAGGGAGCGTTCCGCAATTTAATTCCCGGCCTTAATAGGCCTTGACGAGATCGTTAGTCGGGGCTTCCTCGGAACCGAGGCGCTTGATTCAAGAATATACGAGGACCGTTTGCCTCTTTCAATGTCGAGTTACGATTCCGGAATGGGCCTGCATTGACCTCGATGGACCCGATCATAAAAGCTGCACTTTGAGAGGACTCCTCCTCCCGGTCAACAAAGTCGGCTCTTCGATTTTCCACGACGCGCCTTTGCGTGTCGAGCGATCTCGTGCCTTATCAGAGGCTGGAGGAGGCATTTTCGCGAGTGATAAGATCGGCGACCCCTCCATCGTTCGGGGATGCGGAGCCCGATTTCGAGATATCGCATCGGTCTTATCTCGACGGAGCCGCTTTATTTACGAGTTGTAATCACACCTTGACACGATTCCGATCCGATACCGATAACGACGCGGATCCGCTCCGGTCGCTCCGCAAGTCGACGACGGACGAGGAAAAGGTTCCGCAGTTTGCGCCCGCGTTCCTCGACGCGGCAGGCCGCGTCGAGTTAATTAGTTATTAAGCCGACACCGGGCGCTTCGTCCCCGAGAGGATAAAGAAGATGTCGGTCAAGAGCACGCGACGGTGCCGTACCGTTTCCCAACGAAACCTCGAGAGAGGGAGAGCGACGAACTCGGGTAACCGAGAAACCTCGTAGACGCGGTGGATGGCCGCCCATCGCAACCCGGCCTTGACCGGTCCGGTCGAGAGGAGACCGGAACGCCGGAACCGGGAAGCGGTCCGGCCGTTTTCCGAACTTATCGGCCGGTCGAAAGATGGCCTTGACCGACCTGATGGTCCGGG